AATCAGAAATCTTTTTCTTTAAATTTTAATTCTTTTCTTATTCATTATCTAATTCTTTACTTAAACATTAATTTTATTGTATTTACTATTTAAGTTAAAAATCCTTTTCTGAAATACATGATGTTAGATCTTGAGATTCTTATAATAATTATTTACATTTTATTTCAATTTCATTATATTTTTATTACAATTATAAAATAGTTACGTTCATATTTTATTTTATTGAATCTTACTTTTCATCTATTAAATTATGAGAATTAAATTAATGTAATTTAATTTTTAATTCATTAATCTCTTAATTTTATTGTTGCTTTATTTCTTAAACCTTTAATTATAAAGATTAATTTTCTTTTCTTAAATTTTCAATTTCTATTTAATTTTATTATTAAACCTTTAAAATCTTTTAATAATCTTCAATCTTTTATGATAATTTTAATTATGAATCATTAAGTTCTTTGTGTAACTTTTATATTGTACCTTAAAATTTTGAATTTTCATTTAAAAGATCATTAATTACTGTTTTTTATTGTTTATTTTCCTAATCTAAATTTGAATGTTATGATTTTAAATTGATTACTTATTATTCTGTATCTTCTTTATTTATAAATCTTGAGGAAGTATTCAATTTTAATTCTTAAAGTTCAAAATATAAAGTATTTATTTGTAAAGCCTATGCTTTATTTTATTAAATCAATTATTCAATTTAATTTGTCTTCTTCTAAAGTTCTTCTTCTAATTGAGTAATTTTATTATTATAACTTCCATTTTAATAAGGAGTTGTTATACCATGTGAAATTTGATTAATTTATTAATCTTTTTCTTTTAATTAATCTATTAATTTAGAGATTTGTGTTTCTAATCTTGTCTTAATTGAATTATGAACTTCACTAATATTTTAATTTTCTTATCCTAATTTATTAATTATTAATTATAGATCTTCATTACTTTTTTAATAATTTGTTGATACCATTTTTAATTAATGAGATTTTTCAGCCAATTAAATTCTTAATTAATTAATTAGTTATTATTACTCATCTGTATCTTGATTTAATTTTTTAGAATAACTTTAATTAATTTAATCAATAAAAGATTTATCTTAAATAGTAGATTTATAATTTGTAATATCTTATATTAATTTACTATTTTCTTATTATAGATTAAGTATTTATAATTTTAAACTTTTAACTAATGAATCTTCATAAGTCACTTAAATAATATCTGAACCAGATTTCATATTAGTATTTAATTTATCTATTTCTATTCTCAATTTTTCATTATCAATAATTTTATTCTATAATTCCTATTAAAGTATTAAAATTTAATCATTAAATTATCCTCTAACTTTTTCAAGTTATATTTTTAATTCTTAATTTTCTTATTATATTGATTAATCTTTATTAATTTATTTTTTTAATTGTTAATTTTCAAGATGAAGTAATTCTTTTTGATTCTCTAAAATTTTATATTCTTTACCTTCATATACTTTAGATTCAAAAATGCTTTCATTCATTGAAATATGACTTTAGCTTAAATCTTTAAAGATATTTTATTGATTTTATAATTTGACTATTTATTCACTTAAATTCTAATTTTATAGTTATAACTATACTAATTACTATTTCAATTGAGTTTCAGCATTTTATGGAAATAATCTAAGAGTTCTATTCTCTTCTTATAATTACATAAGCTTTTATTTTAATTCAAATATTTAATTATCTTATTATTTGATCTTTGAAGTAAGGTATTCTTATTCTTAAATGAATTTAGTTATATCTTAATCAATTTATTTATTATCTTTTTATAAATCATCTTATAATAATTTAACTTCTACTTTTTAATTTTAGTGTTTCAATATATCTAATTCTAATTATTTAATTTTATCTTATTATTATGTATCTCTTTATAATTAGAAATCTAATCTTTATTAAACTTCTTAAAATCTCTTCTTTTAAATATTTAATTACTCTTCTAATTCTTTATATTAATCACTTTATATGATATTTGTCATATTAATAGAGAATGATTTTGATTAATTAAGATCTGCTAAATTTTTAATTTATTCTTATAAATATAGATTTTCTTCAGCTAATCTTTTATTTTATTTTTCTAATTATTCAAATTGTTTTTTAGATATACATGCATCTTATAAATCAGAAGTAGCTTTTTCAAGTTTCTTTTTGAATTGTTATATTTCTTGATTATGCATAGATTACATTTATTCAATTTGTTTTTCTAATTAATTATATATTATATTTTCATGAACATTTGAATCTTTAATAGAATAATTAATAATTTATGAAGTATCTAATCTATCTCTAATTGATCTAATTTCTTCATATAATTTAATATTTTCATTTAAATATCTTTTATTTGCTTCACATAATTATTATATTTATAAATCTTTATCAATTTATTATTTTTAAGGTTTTTGTATTTTCTTTTTTTATAATTCATCTTCTAATATTTCAATTTTTTTAAGAAGATATATATTTTCTTATTCAATTTAATCAAATTTAGTTTTAATAATAGGATCTTAAATTAATGATTAATTCATTGATATATGACTCATATTCTTTAACATTTCAATTTCAATTTATAATTCATTAATTTTTTTAGTTTAATTTGTAATTTCTTAAATCAATTTTTGATTTGTTTAAATAAGTTTTTCTTTTTCAAATTCAATATTTAAATTTGATTTATATTATTAATTTTATTTTTAAACTTTATTTAATTCATCTTATAATTTTAATTTCCCTTAATTAGATTCACTTAACAATTCTTAATATTATTTAATCTATTAATTATCATAAATTTATGATTATGATAATGAATTTTCAAATTTCTCATTCTTTTCATTTAATACCATAGTCAATCTTGCATTTTAATTCATTAAATCAGTTTCTCTCTATTTCAAAATGAATAATTCATTCTTTAATGATTATATTAATCTATCCAAACTTTCTATTTAATCTTTAGAAGATGTCTACTATTTACTATTTAATTCTAAATTATTAATTACAAATTACCTAATTCTTTATTTTCTTTATTTAATTTCTCTATCTATTATTATTATTTCTATTTTTCATTCTATAATTAAGTAATTTCCTATCTTAACTAATTAATTTAAATAGATATTCTAGATTCTGAATTAGATAATTATTAAATCTCTAGTTTTTTAGGACCCAATTAAGTCTTCTCATTAATTAACTATTATAATTAAGAATTCAATAATTATTAAAAGTTAATTTACTTTTGATTGACTTTTCCAATATTATATGCAATAAATTTTATATGTACTCTTTTTAAGGCTTACATAGATACAAAAAAAGCACAAAAAGAATCTATATAAATATTATAATATATATATATACCTTTATCTTCTTTTGTTTTGAATTTCAAAGTCTGATTCATGAAATGAGCTTAAAGTTGGTTCTAACTAGGAAGTAACTATTAATCTGAATATGTGATTTTTTATTGTAATGTACTATTTTCTAAACAATCAAGAGAGAATATCCAATTTTAATCGTTGGCTATGATTTATTATCTATGTTTATCCTTTAGGTTACTTCATGTTATTATGATATAATTGGGATAGCTTAATTTCCAATTGTGATGAAATTTGAATTTTTTGAAATTCGACAATTGCTTACCCTTCTTATCCAGATTCAAATGATTGTACATTAGCTTCTATCCTATAACCAATATCAAATATGCTGCATTGATAAATATTGCCCTAACTTTCAATTCTAATACGTTCTGTATCAGATATTTTAAACCATTGAAATTTACATCCAATAGGTATTTTGTTGTTTTTTGATGTAAATGCATTAATAGTGATATTAGAACTTTCATTTAATTGAGAAGCAAGAATATCAAGATGATAGTTAAAATTTCCTTTAATCTAATAATTCATATAAAATAATGTTAATACATAATGATTCCAATTTTTTCATTAAACCTAATGCCATAGTTAAATTGTATAAATAAGTTAAACCAAAGACAGTTGAAACTGATAGAAAAAGAACTAATTATATATTAAATAAGAAAACATAATAAATGAACATTTTGCATTTCTCAAAACCTATGCTATTATTATCAATTCCTGAAGAACAAAAATCAATAAGAAATAACAATCAAACTTGTAGAAGTAGTACAGGATGTACAAGAACTCCAAATAGAAGAAGAAATTTGATAACTTCACCTAAAGAATCCCGTCTTGGTTATAAAATATTACATTACTAAGAATAAGAAGTTCCATATGAAATACATAGTCAAATGCCAATATCATAAATCAATCCTAAATTTATTATATAATAAAAATAAGGTTGTGCTATTAATCGATTACCCAATTTCAAACTATAATTATTCAATCAATTACCAGGATTAAGATAACAATTAGAATTATGTTGATTTTCTTATAAAAATGAAACTCATTTTAATATATCATTATAATCATTCGATATCAATTAATAAATCATCCTCATCATGTTATATTTAATCAACCATTTTCTAATTTTTATTATCTTATTTATTTAAGAACTATTAATTATATATATATAATAAATGCATCTTAAACCTCTTCATCAGTAACAGAAGATTTCTAATTTTTCAATATTACTTTTCAAAGTGATACTATATTTAAAAATCTGAGCCAAAACTGATTTTATTTGTCTTTGAATACAGAAAGGAATTTTTTAAAAAACAGGAGCTACATCCTCTGTAATCCAATCCTTACTCATCTCCTTTAATGATTCCAAAGAATTGAAAAGAAACTACAATTTCACTAATTGATTAACTAAACCTTTTGAATTTATTAAAGAGCAAAATCAATTGAATTTATATGCATCTTTTATGCTTTGTATAGCATCCTACGCATAATTATATCCTCTTTATTAAGGATGCAAAAAATCAAGAAATAAAAGTGAATTTAGAAGTATGACTCTGTTCTTGTAATAACAACCAATTATTAGAAATATTATTTAGTTGGATTGGTAATATATTCATTTTTAATAATTATTCTATTTCTATTGATTTATTTTGAATAGACTCTAAATAACTAATTTAGGATAAGTTTTCTTTCTAATTAAATCTTTCAATATCATTTGGTATAAAAGCAGTTAATGATTTCCTAGACTTTTCACAATCAATTGCTACAATAAAGGTTTATACTTTTGTTTAATTTTAATATTAAAACAATTAATAAATGTACTAAAATAATTCTTTATTATTAAACTACTATCTAAGTAATGTCCAGATATTTAAGATTTATTTATAAAATAAAATAATTGTAATGATCTACTACATTAATACTTCATTCTTTTTTCCCTTAAACTATCAAAAGGCAATAAGTTTCTTCCATATTAATAACACTTGATAATATTTTCTATTTCAATAGGAGTCATATTGGGATCTTCTGGATTGTAATGAAAAGTATCATTTCTAATAATATTTCAAGTGGGTTCACAACTATATTCTCAAATAGCTGAATATAACTTCAAACTAGTGTAACTTATGTACATCTTTTTTAGATTAATACTTATATAGATGTATCATCATTTATATAAAATCTCTAAAATTATAGCTTTGAATATTCTGATATGGTTTCTTAATTCTACAACCATAAAATATAAGAAATGAGAATTAATTAATTATTTTTGCTTTAATAAAAAGAATTCAGTTATTAAATAACAGATTTAGTATGATCATCCAATTCAATATCATATTCATAAAATCCATAGCTATAAAATTGATTTTTACAATTACTATTTATTCATTTGAATCAATTTTTCAATAGATTTCTCATAATATTCTGTCCATCCAAATCCTTCAGTAAATATCAATATCTTTTATCAATCTTATTTATATTTATATTTTCATATAGAGTGCTTATTGCTTTATCCAATGTTCCTTTTATTTAAATAATATTATAATTTGGTAATCCTGTATAAAATTCAGATGATAAGGGCTAAATATAAAAAAAGGTTTTCCTATCTTCATTTTCATGATTTTTATAATTAAAGATTATTTATTAAATCATCAATCCTATACAATAAACAAATATAGAAAGATTATATAATTATCCAATAATATCTTTTAACCTTAAATCTATTTGTATGGTTCGTTCATACATGCACCTACATCTAATTATACTAATGTTACTTCTTTTCCTATAAATTAGAGTGATATCAGAATATTTTTTATATTAAATAATTGAGTATAAATTAATTAATCTATTGATCTTATATACTCTTTTATTATTTATATAATGTAATTTTTAAAGTCCTATCTTACAGATTATATCAATACTTATGTTTATGAGTATTTTGATAACATTTCCAAAGAATAGATTACTACTTAATTGACTAAAGGATAAATTCAATTAAATAATATGTAATTCAAACCATCAATCTTTAAAAAATTGAATTTGCCATTTATAATTAAAGATAGCATGATCAATAATATAAGTATTACCTTAGGTAAACAATCTTCTATTAAAATTGATACACTTAATATTGTAATAGAAATACTCAATTTATATGGAAATTTTATTATGGAAAGTGCTATCAAATTATAAATTCTTGAAAAATTTAGAAATTCCTTAATTGAAAATCTGCTAAAAGGAATGGCAGCATAAGATAAATAACAATAAGATCCAAAAAAAAAGTTTGCCTTTAATTTATTCCAAAATATTGAAATTGAATTAAATAGTTTAAATATCACATTTCTTGATAAATATTGTACTCAAAATTCTTTTGGTGCCAAATTAGAACATTTTACTTGTAAATCCTCAATGAATCCCAATAAACCCAAATTAAGGAATATTGAAATCAAAAACCTATTATTATTTTGGCAAGATCCTATTACATAATTAAATGCCTATGCTACTCTTGAAGATGTGGCTGAATAAGAATCAGATAATCTATCCTTTTAATTAGGAATAATATTCGATTAATTAACTTTTAATTGCTCTAAAATATAGTGTAATGCAATTTATAAATTTTCTGAATATGTATCCTAATTTACAATTAGATAAAATAAATAAGTAGAAAAGAGTTCAAATAATGAAGATGATCAAAAAGTAAAAGGGGAAATAAAGAATATTTTGAAAAGTATATCTCTATTAGAATAATCAACTGAATGTTAAGAATATGAAAGATTATGTTTATTGGTGTAAAGTTAATCTATAAATGATCTTAAATAAATATAATTTGAAATTATGAAATATGATAAAGGAGAAGAAATAGTATAATTAAGAAAAAAGAAATTAGGATGGTTTGGAGGTATGGTTAAAAATGATAAAAAAATGGGTGAAAAAATTATTAATATACTTGATGATTTAGATTAAGATCCAAATATTAATTTAAAAACTCTTTAACTAAAATTTGAATTAGTTGTTAATTAATGTTAAATAGGATTATCTTCTAATTATAGAGGTTAATTAAATAAATTGATCATTAATTTCAAAAATGTTAATTTATAAATGAACAAAACAAATTAATTATAATTAGATTTTACAATTAAAGAAGGAGAAGTTCTATTATAATATTAAGATAAAATTAATTATTTAGTATCTAAAAATAAAAATTTTGAAGAAAAATATAGTTTAGAATTACATCATACTAATGATGAAAAAAAAGAAAGTCTTTTTATATAAACATGTCCATTCTAAATAGTTTTTAATGAATAAGCTTTTGAAAAATATTATGATTTATTTTATTTTTTTGTTGTTTCAGAAAATTAATTACCTAAATTAACTAAAAAAGCTAAATAATAAATATAAGACATAGTTAGTGATAAAAAAGAAAAGGATATTTAAATTAAATTAGAAAAAATATATATATTATCTACAAATGGTAAGGAAACCTTTCTTTTTAGTCCAGGTTCAATTGATTTTAATTATAAAACTCAAAATTAATCTATTTACAATATCAAAATATTTGATACAACATTTGGGTTTTCTGAAAAAATAAATTCATGTATTGATTTTATACATCAATAATATTGTTTTAATAGTATGATTATGTCTAGAGATTTTATTAAAATAACAAATTGTGATATTGATTTAGTAATTTAAGTTTAAGATAATCAAATTAATACTGTTTTAGAATTAGGAGATATGAATTTTTAAATAAATCCTACCATATATAAATATTTTTATTAATTTTATGGAACACATTATCAAAAACCATTAAAAGAAATGAAAAATTAACTTAGAAATAATGAAGAAAATTAATAAAAATTTTGTTTATTTAGTAATACATATATTAAAAATTAAATAAAATGTAGAATGACATTTTAGGGCCATTTCATAAATTTATATGAAGCTGAAAAAGATGAGAAAATTATGAAAATAGATTTATAAAATATATAATTTAAATAATCCAAAGACAATCAACATTATATTCTTGAATTAAAAACAAATGATTAAATTATAAAATTGGCTTATTCAAATGAAGAAGATATATAATTAGTTGTAAATAAATGTTAAATGTCACGTAATGATGATTATTATGTATAAAATATTTTAGAATAGAATTTAAATAATTCTATAACTAATATATAGAATTAAATACAATAATAAGAATTCTTATCATATATACAAATTAAATTAAATAGTATACATGTTGTTGTATTAGGAAATTAAAATTAACCATTTATAAATATTCATCTTACTTATTTAAATTTTATTAGTTTGGGTAATTAATTATAAAGTAAATTAACTATCTCATTTAAGTATTTTACAATTATTAAAGAATTTAATTAATAAATGAATAATTTTGAAGATAAAAAATTTTTAGATATTCAAAGTGATGAAAATACAACTCTTATTGAGTATTGTTAAACATTAAATGAAAATTCAAAACTTAAACTTTATGTAAATTATTGTATACTAAATTATAAAGCTAAAACAATAGGGTTAATTCTAGAATAATATCCAATTGAATTAAAAAAAGATTGGAATCTTACTAAATTTATTATTAATTCATATTTAACTTATTATCCTGATCTTTAGATTATTTGTAATTAAATGAGTGTAGAAATTAATAAAAAATAAATTTTATTTAAATAAAGTGAACTTAAATCTATTTAATTTCAATAGAATTATATTTCTATTATGTTTATGTAAGATGATTAAGATGAAAACTGTTTATAAGTAAATGCAATTCCAAAAGGAAATCTTATTGTTGATAATGAAAATGAGATGACAATAAATATTAGATTAGATGAAGCCTAAGCAATATTTGCTTAATAATATACATTATAAACAAGTAAATTGAAAAAAAAAAATAATAAAAAAGTACTATTATCTTCTTGTAATATTGATTTTGGATGGAGAGTAGTCTTTTAAACAAATGTTATAAAACATTTTATGAATTTTAGAACAAATTAATTTAAATTTACATTTGGTACTAAAGATATATGTTATTTAACTAAATAGATGTAAAAATTATCAAGTCAAATTACTGAATTTTATGCTTCTCATGATTTAGCAAATTATCTCATTTAATATAGAGTTAAAACATATTAATTAACATTTGGAGTAGAATCATAAATGTAAACTGTATTTATTGATGATTATTTTAATTAATCATTACCAATATTTGGTCTAACTTTCAATCAACCAATTTGGAAATTAGAATTAAATTTAGATCATATTAAATTTCATACTAGAAATCTATTTGAGGCAGTTAATTATCATTCTACTAAATTAGCATGGGAACCTATTTTTGAACCTATTTCATTAGATTTCAGTTTATATATTTAGAATTAATAACCAAGAATCATTTTAGACTTTAATATATCAGATATTATTAATATTGATATATCAACAGAATTCATTTAAAATCTATTAAAATTTAAGAAATTGGTTAAATAGTTTGAAAATACAGACCTTAAATAAAATAATGAACCAATTAATTAAAATAATAATTAAATACTTACATATGAAACTTATGAAATATAAAATGCTTGTGGTTTATTGATTATAGCATATGGATAAGATTAAGAACCTATATAATTAATAAATTAATAAAGATAAATTACAAAATGTAAAGGAATATTTTAATTTGAAATAATTGGAGTATATTCTTCAATAAAAATTGATAATTGGTCTTTACAAGTATAAAAAAAGAAAATAATAATAGAAAAAGGATTTTCATTAATTATTGAAACAATTGTAGATGAATTTATGAATTCATCAAAAACTATTATTACTAGTTCTATTTTATTAATTAATTTAAGTCCATTTAATTTATAAATTAAAATTTAAAATTAAGAAATTATATCTTTAACTAAAGCTGAAAAGTAATAATAAATTCAGAAATTTTAAAAATACACAAATATTTACACTATTCCAAATTAAATACAAAAAGGTTAATTTTGTCTTATTGAAAATAATGTTATTTCAGAATCATATAATTATACAGATATTGCTTAAAAAATAAAGAAAGGGAATTCAGAAATTGTAAATCTGAATAACAAATTTTTTAGATTGAAATCTTTACAAGACCCTATTATGAACGATAGATCAATAATATCAATTACTCCAGTTGTGGAATTCATAAATTAAACACCTTTTATAATTATTATTGATAAACATTGTCCTCAAATCAAATAATTTTTACATTTTATTATCAATTCAAATTAAATAATAGAAGATTGTGAAATTAATCCTTAAAAGGAATATCTATTTAGTTTTAAAATAGAACGATATTATTAATCAATATAATATTCATTAAATGAATTGATGAAAGGGAAAAATGTAATGTTAGAAGATGAAAAATGGTAATTAAATGTAGATAGAAAGTATTTAAGTTTAATCTTAATAATCAAACCTAAAATAGATAATTATGGAAGACATCAAATTACTATTCAATTTAATTAATCTTATTTAATCAATAATACAGATTTAGATTTATTAATATATTAAGGAACTGAAAAGAATTTAGAGATTTTAGGAGGATAAAAGTATAATACTTCCTTTTAATCAATAGTCCTTTAAAAAATTTAAGAAAAATAATTTATAGTATTTGAAGAAAGAAATTCTAATTTAAAATCATAATCATTAGCATTATCAGAAATCATTAAATTAGAAACTATAGAAATCAAAAAAAAAGTAAATAATACTCTTTATTTTCTTCCAATTTAAATAGAAAAATAATTTATATAATATGGAGATTATACTATTCCATTCTTTTAAATTTATTACAAGTACATCTTATATAATAGATTGGAATAACCAATTTATCTTTGTTATGAAGATAAAACAACCCTCCTTGAATCCTTGATTAAATAACCTTTATAATTTTGGAAACAGGAACATTAAAACAATCCTGATTTCTCCTATGAATGTTCTTTAAAACTTATTTTTAATGATTAAGTTTTATAAACAGCAAGATTCAATATTATGATTCAATAATAATTTGTTTTACTAATTAGATCTATAAATCTTTGTATAAGAAAGTTTATAAAAATTACAATATTGGAAAAAAATCATGAATATTTTTTGATTATTGATGATATTTAAGATAAATAAGATTATCCATACATGATAATAAATGAATCAAAATCCTTATAAATATAATTAAAAAGTGACAATGAAAAATTATCTTCTGGAGATAGTTTTCCTTTGGCAAATTCATTTCAATCTGATCAAGATTTCACTTATCCAGTAAATTTAAAAGATCAAACTATGAATTGGAATAATTCAATTTAATTTTTATTAAAATTAGATTAGGTTGGTTTAAGTGGAATTGTAGAAATCAATGGTTAGAAATATGATTATGGTGTAGTTAAAGTAGGCAATCAAAAATAATTTATTTTTAAAGATTTTTAAAAACCAAGACCAAGTTAAATTGAATAATAAATATAATAAGAGAAAATTTTATATCATTTTGATTTAAAGATGTAGATTATAGGTTGTACAATATCTTATATTGAAAATTTGAAAACTAAATGTAAAGAACTTCTTATTTGTTCACTTGATAATATTATTATGGTTTATTCATCAAATGAATTTAATTAAAAATAGATAAATTTTAAATTGTAAAAATTGTAAATAGATTCATAATCTAAGAAAATGTCATTATAAAAAACTATTTTATTTTCTGAGGTTTCATAAAACTTAAATTCAATTGAATTTGAATTAAAATTAGATGCAATGACTAAAGATTCTTATTATTCTTTGGATTTAGTAAAGATAAATCTTGGAAATTTTTAATTTTGTATGGATAAGATTTTTTTTGATAAATATGGAGAATTATAAGCATAATTTTATGATTTCTTTAATTCTTAGCATACTTAAAAATAAAAAGGTAATTATCTTAATAAATTATTTAATAAAAAAAAAGTTGAAAGAGCACTTTTTAGAAATTAATTGAAATAGACAAGAATATTTGTTAGAAAATTAATATTATGTCCAATGAAAATGAAAATATCTTATTTGAAGGATAATTATTAATTAGAAAAGTAACATTTTGTTAAAGAGAATTTCACAAGTTCACCTTCTAATCTTTTTCATAGAATATTGAGATAATATATTTTTGGAGATAAAAAGTTTTTTTTTAATATGCTTAGTTAATATTTAACAAATAGACTTATGATAAATCTAGTAAAATTAACTAATTGGAATTAGATAAGAATAAAAAGAGCAATATATGAACCAACTAGAGTATATAAAGTTTTCAATTAATAATAAGCTAATCATTAATATATGTTAAAGTAGGTATAGAAATGTGATTGTAATAGGGAATTATCAAAGATAAAATTTAATATTATTAGTTCTCATGATGTTCTTTTAAAAGGATAAAATAAAATATTATTTATATGTGATTAGTAAATATTTTTTATTCATTAAAATACCATTTAATAATTTTTGGAGTATGCTGACATTTAATTATTTTACTCTCAAGCAGATATTTTACACCTTTATATAATTATTGAAAAAGATCAACTAGCTCTATTATTTGAAGATTAGAATAATTTATAGATAGCGATATAAAATTTAAGTAGATTTTAGAATTGATGAATAATTCTATATTTTTTATTTTCACTATTGTTTTCTTCTTATTAAGTTCTATCTTCATTTTCTTAAAATAATATAAATTCACTCTCTAATTTAAGAATTATATTTCTATTAAGTAAAATTTATTATTTTTTTGTTAATTTTAAATTATTATATATATGTGATTCAAATCAATTTATATATTTAAGTATAATTAGATTCAATAGAATATATAATTATTATTAATTTATATAATAAGTAATAATACAAAAAATGTAAGAGTTAGAATGGAGATGTCCTTTTCATCCAGGAGATGTTTTAGTATATGTAAATATTTTAAGTGATTGTGATTAATCAGAAAGAATTTTATGTAAGGAATGTGTTTCAGAAAAATATGGTGGACTTATGTAGAATCTTAAGTAATTGTAGGATGTCTTAAAAGAAATAAAGTAATAAGGTGATTAATTTTAAAATATTAAAAAATCGAAGGATAAATTTTCATAATAGATTAATAGAATATAATCTAAATTGAATGGATTGTTTGGGAGTCGATCATATTTGTCTATTGAGATTGGATAAAATTCAAATTTATCTGTTTTAAGATAATCAATCCATAGTTATTACTGTCAAAGTGATTAAAATGTTGTAAAATCAATATAAAAAGATTTTAAATAATTGTAAGAAGAAACTTAAAAAGCCTTTGATTATACTAATGAAGTCAATACTTAATTAAGAGAAATTTAAACACGTTAAATTGAAAATAATTTTAATGGACCAATAAAATATATTGATTTAGATACAAAAGATAATATTTCAAATTTTTAATAAATTAAAACTAATTTTGAAGAAAAGAATATATTAATTATTTAAAATTAAGCTGTTAAAATTTTATGTTTAGAAGATAATAAATTAATAGAAAAAAATGTTATAAATATAAGAGAAGATAGTATAATTACTTATGTAATAAAAGAAATAGGGAACTCTAAAATTATAATAGGTTAATCAAATGGATATTTTGAGATATGGGAATAAATTTCAAATGGAAAATATATAAAATCTCATGAATAAAAGGATCATAATTCTTAGATTAATCTCTTATCATTATGTTATAATAATAAAATATTGATTACTGGCAGTAAGACTGGTATTAATTGTTGGTAATATAATGATAAATATTATAAATGGATAAAATTATGGGGAAATAACATTTAATAAATTAATTACTTATGTGTAAACTTAGATGATAAATTATTAGCAGCTGTCATTAATTAGAAGACTCTTTTTATTTTTAAACTTTATTAAAATCAATAATGTATAGAAGATTTTTAATAAAGTTTTGATAAAGAAATTATAGCAGTATGTTTTATGAATGATGATGATTTTGCTATTTTTTTTAAAAGTTCTAGAAAAATAGAAATATATTAGTATAAATAAAATACTCTATAATTTTATTAAGACATAACATTAAAGTATATTATTACAGATTGTATGGAGAAATTGTTGCCAAAGTTTTATAAAGATATAGGATTACTTTCATTGAAAACTGATTAAGAATTAATATTAATCAAATAAAAAAATTTACAACAGAAAAAGGTATATGAGAGAATTTAATTAGGAGATAAAAAGATGAATATAATGATGTTATTTAATTTTGGATAGCATATTATTTATAGTTAGAATAATGCACAATAATATAATTCCTAGTTATTGAAAGTTGCCAAAATAGAATTATAGTGATAATATCTATATGGGATAATATTTAAAAAATATAAATAAATGTAATATTATGTCAAATTTAATTAATTAATGAGATATTACTTAATTTTGGTAATATTTTTATTAAATGTAATATTAAACTTTTAAATCTTGTAATAAAATTATTAATTAAATTCATTAAGATATATAATATAATCAATATATAATAATATCTTTATCTATTGATAAAATCATATCAAATCATATATTTATTTTTTTTATTATAAAATACACTTTCTAATCAACTATGATCATATTATATATCATTATAAAAATAGATATATTAAATAAATTTAATGAATACACTATAAATTTTTAAGGGATCAACTTTTCTAATTTATACTTAATTTAATTTAGATATCTAAAATACAAAATTTTGACTCATTGTCTTAAATTAAATTGATAATTTTATATTATTTATAATTATAAAATTCAAATTTATAATCTTCTTAAAGATCTAAGAATGTTATGATAAAATAAAGTACTATGGTTTTCAGCAAATCTTTTGAAAATAAATGAAATAAGATATTGAAATGAAATTAATATAATTAGATATATTTTATTATATGTCATTTTTTAATAGGTTTAATAGTTGGAAATAATTTTTATATTGTGATTTAACAAATTTAACATAATAAGCTTGTACAAAAAATGACAGAAAATACAATAAGATCACTGTGATCTGTACTTAAATAATAATTATAAATATATTACATTTCATCATTAATATTAACAATAGAAAGCCATCCTCTAGAGGAATTACTAAATGTAGTAATGATAGCTATTATTAAACATCCAAATATCCAAAGAGTCAATGGATAATTTTAATAAAATTTATCTTATATTATAGATTATATATATATTACTTTTAAAAGGATGAGATTGATATAAAATAATGCATATAAGCATATTGTAATATTGATTGGCCAACATCATTACTGAATTTAATGGACCTTCTCTAATGTAAATTTCAATAGGAGAAGGTATCTTAAGTTATTAAGAGTATTGTATCACAATAATTGATAAAATGATACAACCTAAGGATGTGAATATGAATATATTGTAAAATTGTAATTGATTTGGTATAGCAAATACATCATCATTTGGTTTTGATGTAGTTAATGTATTAGATTTAGAAGATAAGGTCATTAAAATTAATACTGGAACACTAGACATGTAATTCATGAATATATATTAGAAATCACCAAAATTCATACCTTAAAATTATAATAGAGCAGTTCCAGTAAATTTTAATACACTAATAAGTACTAAATATTAAAATAATTCTATTATAATTCTTTTAGTTGCTCTACCTTAAAGTAGAATAGAAATGACACACTTAATAGAGTCAGATCTATTACTAAATGGAGATGTATATGAAGCATCTGAAGAACTAAAAGATACACCAACAAGTGATTCAGCTATAGCAGACTAATAAATAATAAATAATTTATATTTACACAATCATTAGCTCCATCTCCTACCATCATAACATATTTATTTAATTAAGTTTATAAATATTAAACAATTTCTTTTTTTTAATATGGTTTCATTCTAGAAAATATTTTAGTTTTTTTTATGACTTTATTTAAACATTCAATAAATCTTTAATCAATTTCATCAATTTATTTTAATTGATTATATTATTATAAATCATTTGATTAATTCATAGAAACTTCATTAATTTTATTTTACATTAAAATACTCCATAAATTACCTGTAATAGCATAATTACAATCATCATTATTATAAATTGTATCTAATTATGTCAAAATAAAATTATATTAAGATCCTGGTTTACCATCACATGAAGATCTACTAGATGATGGGATTTATTATCTTAAATCTTAAATTAATAAAGAATCACTTGATTAATCATAATCTATAATAAGAGTATTTGATTTATTTTCTATTATTTTAGATTCAAATGCACAATGAGTTGTAGTTAAAGCATTATCTCCAGATATAACTCTTATATCTAAATTAGAATTCAATAATTATTATATAACATGACTTGTATCTTTTTTTAAACTATTCTCTAAAGTAAAAATACCAGAAAAATTTATTTAAAATTCTAAAAGATTTCTATCTAAATTAATTTAATTAGGAAGTAATGTTTTATAACCTAATCCTATTACTCTAAGTCCATTAAATGTTTTTATTTATAATTATTCATGAATAGAATTATTAATTTCATTAATTGACATTTAAATCAATTTTTCTGGTGATCCTTTTATAAATAATGTATATGTATCTTCATTTTAATTATGAGCCACAACACTCATCATTTAAAGATGAGAACTAAATTCAAAAATACGAACTATTTTAAATGTTTTTTATTTATTTGAAACTTTAAAATATTTTTCATCATCAAAATTTATTATCCAATTTGTTTTCTTAAACATTTCTAATTCTAATGGATCTCCTATTAATTCATCCTTTAAAATTACTAAATGATGACAACAAGCCATAATATCTAATATTTCATCACTATGTGGATAATAATCATGTGCTTGCAACCCTAAAGTAGAAAGAGTGCCAGTTTTGTCAAAACAAATTGTATCAATCTTACCAGCTTCTTCAGCCTTTATTGGATTAGAACCCATAATATCTTCTTATTTTAATTTTAATAATGATATTGCTTAAGCCAAAGAGAAAAAAATAGGCAATGCAGGTGGGACAATCCAAGTAATTACATCTAAATATCTTAAATAAAAAAGATTATTATTACCTTATTATAATCAACTTAGATGAATAATTCATATTTTGATATTGTATTATATATAACAAAGTGAAAATAGCTAGAATAAATAGACCAAGAATCACTAAAAATTTACAAGCTTGTAAGTAAAATTATCTTGAAGGTGGAGGTGGAAATATTACATTTCTAAAATACTATCCTCTTACTGAACTATAGCCTGTTCTTATTACCAAAGCAATATTCTATTAATATTGAGACACTTAAATGACTTTAGTACCTTCAAATAAAGTGTTTTATGAAATTTCATTTGTTAATTCTTTTATTGATTATTTAGGAACAGGAATAGATTCACCTGTTAAAGTAGCTTCATTAACCATGACATCTCCAGATATTAATATTGAATCACAATTTAATTATTAATTATCATGAACATAGAATTAATCTCCTACTACTAAATCACTACCATTTATTATTGAATTATCCTTTAATTTTACTGATTATTAGATGGTTGCCAATTATTATAATTAGATTCTTGATCTTCTCATAAGATAATAATTAATTATGCAAGCTAAAAAAGAAAAGGAAAGTAAGACTATTGCAAATATAATAAAACCTAAGTAAATTAATAGGAAATACCTTCTGCTATCCATAATAATACTGAAAAATATTATAAAATATAAAATGGACTTGTTAATTCTTAAAATAAATAAGTGAATATTGATTTAATAGGAATTTATAATTAACTGTTTCCATAAATGTTTTATCTAATATCTCTAGATATTTGATTATTTAATAATAGATCTAATTTTTTGGACTTCTCATCTAGATAAACACTTGACTCAACATAATTAACTGGTTAGAAGAAATTATCCTTTAATTAATATTTAAGAAATCTGTTTTAAATCAAATAACTTTTACCTATATGTAAAATAGGAAATGTTGTTAATACGAATTTTCTTACATATAAATTTTTCATTGGTTGAATTTGATACAAGATAATGTGTACAATTATGTTCAGTTGTTTTGATGAATAGAAAATATTAATAAAGTCGTTGATTCCATTATAAAATTAAAGCAAAAGCAAAACATGATATTATGGACAATAAAATCTAATATTTATTCTATTATTACAGCTATAAGTAATCGGAATTTACTTATTATGATAGGAGCTATCTCTATTAATTGATGTTATCCTTCAACTTCAGAATTTTTAACTTTATAAAACATTATTGCAAAATAATTATTTTTATTATCACTTATGCTCAAGAATATTCTTTTACTAACTTTAATATTATCTACATTTTAAGCAACAGATATATATCTAGAAGAAGTAATGGATTGTGTATAAAATACATGTGAACCTGCAAGAAGCAATTGTGGTATTGATTATGATTGTAGGTAATTGATAATTATAAAACTGATAGATTATCTTACAATAATTTTACTACTTGTATTTCATAATAGTCTAGTGAATCAGATTATATTTAATGTAGAACTAATGGATATATGACATGGGTTAAGGTAATGGATTGTTATAATAATTGTCATTATTTTGAACTTTTTGCAGTTCCAATTTTGTTATCAATGGCTCTCTTTTTAATATATATATGAGTTTTATTATTTATGTATAAACATTCATTTAAGTATTTTCTTAACAATGTCAATATAAAGGAATTTGCCTTCATTTTTTGGATCTATAAATTTCATATATTCATCTGCTTCATCTTCAGTAAATCTATATCCCATAGTCATCAATAATTCTTTAAAATATTCACTCTAAATATATCCTGTATTTTCTAAATCTACTGATTTAAATGCTATAAACTTAAATGAATTATTATACCTTCAATCAATTATTCTTCTCTATCTTATTCTCTTTTTTTCTTACTTACTAAGATAAATAAGGCATCTGATCTGATACCTTAACCTTCTGAATCTTCTAATTCTTTATATAATTCACTTAATTCTTATTCATCATAAACATAACCAATTGATGTTAATAATTCTTATAATTCTGTAAAATTAATTCTTTCATCACTATCTCTATCAAACAATTAAAAATTTTCTCTATATTTTTTATCTTCTGCATCTGAGAAAAGTCTATATCGAAATTAATGTAACACTTTTTAAAATTGTCATCAGAATACAAATGGCTTTTAAGTTCTTCAATAACAGTTCTAGGATCAATTTTAGGCAAACCTTCATTAAGTGACACTTTTTCTTTTTATCTGACTTAAGATAGATTGGTTTATGTTTAATTCATATTAAAAATAAAAATATAATAATTTTCATTATTATTATTTCATAATGTTATGTAGATTCTTATATATTTTAACTTAAATTAAGTATGGATCTAAAATTATGAAATAAATTACTTTATGTATTATTATTAATAATGTCAGATGTTGTAATAATCTCAGCTTTAGGTCCAACAATTTGTAATCCTTTATAAACCATAGACATAATAAATGAGTTTTATTTTAAAAATTCTAAAGATATAAGTCCATCAATATAGAAATTGAATATTATTATTTTATCCTTATCAAGATTTCTTAATGTAAATTTAACATTTTTATGAGTTTACTAAACAAGAAATAAGTATAATAAATTTTATAATATAAAGTAAACAATATTGGAAATAGAAGTAATAATATCTGATTCATTAGATTCTGATTCAAATGTAATATGTTTATCCTCAACTTCAGCTATAATATTCATAATAGTTAAACATTTATAAATAATTTAATTAAGAGAGAATATATCTAATAATTATTCTGTTTCTCTTCTATAATAATAAATTTGAAATGCATCCAATATCATTTATATTTTAGTATTCGAGATAATTTAAGCATTAACAGTACTTTCATTAATTTTGAAATATGGATTAGATTCAGAACTTTCAATTATAGAACATAATTAATTTAATTATTTTTTTGTTCTAATATTTATTTTAATTAATTATTTAGTAAGTAATTAGATTTCTTGATCTTTTAATTTCAATTATATATTTTCTTCCATAATCTTAGATCTTTATTCCATTAACATAATAATTTCTTTATTAATTACACTATATTAAAAACATCTAACATTATATAATTATTGTGTTGAATTATCTTTAACCATTATTTCTAAAAATGTTGAATTCTTTTTTACAGCCACCATCATTTCATATAGATATTAACCAACATTCATAGAATCCATACCTGTACTATGTTATATATTTATGTTTCTAGATTTATATTAATTTTCACATTATTATTATTAATGTTTAGAATCATAAATAGAAAAATTATGTAAAAAATCTTTTAAATCTTAATTACCTTATATACCAATTCTTTATATTGCCAATTAATTTGCATATTTTAATTCAAATTGAAATGAATCTTAATCAAATTTAAAATGTATATAGACATCTTTTATTATTTCGTCTAAAATCTTTCCTTTAGATATAATAAGTATAATTACTAATTTCCTTCTCATTTTCATATTACAAAAATAATGCTCTTCTCACATATGTTTTACGATACATCAAAATGTATAAATAACATGAAACAGCTATGTAAATAATAGCCATTCCATCAAATTTAAAATAATATATTATGTAAATCAACCTTATTGTTATTACAATTGTGAGTGAAATAGTATTCCATATGAAATCATAATGTTCCAATAATGTTATATTAATCATTGTAATTCCACATCCAGAAACATATAAATTATTATAATTGTTAGTATTCTTATCAACCATTAATTATATAGATGTCATTATTATATTATTAATAACAAATATACTACAAATATTCTTATTTCTCTTCATTCTACATACTATAGGAAATTCAATAATAAATATTATAGTGATTATTGATTCCAATATTCCATTTGTTAATTAACCCTATTGTAATTGTATAATTGCAACACCAAGATTAATCATTATTAACAATGGATGATATGATTTAAAATGTGATAAAGAAGACTCTTTTGTTGCTTCCTCATATTTTTGTTCTAATTCCAAAGGAAATCTCAAAGTAAATTTATTCATTATTTATAAATAATAGTCAGTAAATCTGAAAACATCACATTAAGGTTAATGAACTTATTTCAATTCAATTAAATTAACATAATCATACATATATATATAAGTATCAAGTTTTACTAATACTTCTATGCTTTTCAGGTGAAGCATACAGTTTTTCGAAATATTCAAAGAATTAATCACTCTCCATATCATCATGCATTAATTAACAAAAATCTTTATAAGTCATTTTTCCATCATGCATCATCAAATCTGTTAAAATCTTATCTGAAGCCATTTCTTCTCTACCTTCCCTCTTTAAAGCATGTTATATATCCTCTTTTGTTATATATTTTTTATCTTAAACATCAAAATATCGAAATAAACTCCATAATCTTTCCTTATTCAAATATTATTTCAAATCTAAAGTAGCAGCTAAAAATTAAGAATACTTAATCTACAAAGCTTATTACTCTTCAGGATTCATATTACGAATTAATTATTCAATTTCATTTTTTGTAGTCTCAAAACCTAATTTAGCCATTATTTAAGATAATTCTTATGGTGTAATAAATCCATCTTCATCTTTATCTAATTCCTTAAACTTTTAACTCAATTTATCAATCTATTTATCATTTAATTAATTAATAAGTATTCTTAGAACTTCTCTTTTAAATTATTTACTCTTAGCATATCTTTTTAATCCTTAAATATTTGATGTATTAATAGGAGTGCAATCATTAGATTAAGGAATATTCTCCTATTTCTAATTTATTTTTATTTGTAATGGTTTACGAAATGCCTTCTTAGCCCATTCACTATTCAAAGCTTCTGAACAAGTTAATCTTTTCTCTGGATCTTTTTATAGTAATCCTTAAACTATCTTCTTACAATCTTAACTAATTCCTTTCCATTCTTCTTAAGGAAATGTTAGAGGTTTAAACTGTATCTTTTAAAGTAATTCTTTTAAGTGCTCTGAAAAGAAAGGTGGTTCAGAACACAATACTATGTACATGATACAACCAACTGCCCAATCATCACACTTCTAATTATATCTAAATTTATAATTTTATTTTATTACACTCCAGTGACAACTTCAGGAGCTACATATAATGGAGTACCAACTTAACTTTACTTTCTTTGTAATTATTTCTTTCTGTCTTTATCTGATTCCTTTAATTTCTTACTTAAACCAAAATCTATTATTTTGATTTCTGCATCATCTTTTTCATTTGATAATAATATATTCTCTGGTTTTAAATCTCTATGCATAACACCTTAACTATGCAAATATGCTATTGCTGAAAATAGTTTCCTCATTACAATGCTGGCCTTATTTTCATCAAAACTGCCTATAAATTATTTTTCATATTTACCTTTTGATAATACTCTCTCAAGTAAATTACCACCTTTACAATGTTCCATAACAAAATAAATAAACATATCATCCTCATACATTTCATAGAATCTAACGATATTTGGATGATCCATTTTTCTCAATATTTCAAACTCTTCTTAAATCATTTATGTTTTATCAGCTACTCTCACTTTATTTATGGTCTTTATGGCATACACTTATTCTCCATCAGGTCCATCTTTATATCCTACTTTTACTGTCCCAAAAGATCCCTTTCCAAGCACAGCTCCAAATCTATAAAATGTTCTAATGTTAGTAGTAAAATATGTTTTTTTTCTTGCACTATGTCTTTAACTTGAACAACAGCCCATTTAAAATAAAAAATGTAAAATTTATTCACATATGTTAATATTTAGGCGGTGTTGATAATAAAGAATAAATGAAAAAATGTAAATGGATACTTAAAATTAGAAAGTACATCTACTATCGTTGATGAGAATTTAATAATAATTAAATGTAAACTAATTAAAATACCCTAACTAATTTTTTTCTTTTCAAATAAAAAAGAATAGTTCCATATTTAACATATAAAAGAAAAGAGAGAGGATAAATTCAATACAAAAAGAATCATATAATAATTAAATGAACATCTGAATAAATGTAATCCAATCCCGAAGTATGAAATTTCTATTGAAAATAATTATTAAGATAAGCATATCACAGAATTGATGAATGAATGTATTGATATCTATAGAAATAGTTTACAATATGATTTTAATAAGATGCTCAACAATTTAATTAAATTGAGAAAATTATAGAATCTTGATTACGAATGGCAAACCTGTTTCCTTTGTTTATTTTAAAATGATTTTATGGAGTATAACGATTAATCTAATTTAGATATATACTTGTTCTAATGAATTAATAATTTGATAATGCATCTTAATTATAAATTGAAGCAACTACAATATTAGCTAATATTTTTGATATTATGGATGAAATTCTAGATTTTACTTTTCCTCATATATACCAATACTTAATTTACTAAGTCATTTAATAACTTACAATTTAGGAAGATTTCTAATTTCAAAGAATGCTTATTTAGTTGATTCAGTATGATTCAACTTCATTTTTAGTATGTGCATGCTTTAAAAAATGCATTTTATGATTAATAAATAATGGTTCAAAAATTCTAATAGCATTATGGATTTAATAATTATAATTGAATCTTAAGACAATAATCTGGTTGTTAAATATTTTAACAGCAAATAGAGAATTTCAAAACAAAAAATTGTTACAAGTCAACAAATTAGATAATTATTATCATATAATGGCAATCTATGTTACATATTTGTCATTTAATTAGTATAAATGTAAATCAATAATATCATTGACTAATTATGCAATTTGAAGGAGAGTTTTGCTGATTCCTTAACTAAAATCCCTTATGTATTGAGAAATTATATCCTTAACATTATAGTCAGCAAATTATAAACAGAGTAAATTTAAATTATAGTATTATAAAATAGAAAAAGTTTGAGTTAAATAAAATTATGAATAATAATAGACAATTAAATATTAATTTCCGCTTTGAAATCTTTATGGATCTTATTACAATCTATTAATTATTATACATTCTAATTTTTATGATTTTTGAAGATGATACATAAAGAATCAATATTTAAGATATATTGTTTAAATTATACTATATTATAAAAAATCTAGAAGTGAGAAATTTGATTGATGAATGTATAAAAATTGTGGAAAAGACTCAAAATGATATTTAAAATTATTAATACATTAATTTTATAAATAAATAATGGTTTATTCAATTGGTTAAGCCAAAAGATCAGATCCTGCTCTTAAAACATTTGCTCCTGCTCCAAATGCGTATCTTCCAAAATTAGTATCCAAATTGTAATCTCCATAATGGACGTAAACCAAACTTATTAGAGTAGTATTGGAGGAGCAGCTTAAAGGGCAGGTAGATCAACATCAATCGGACCAGGACCTGGAAAATATGGATATCAATCTAAAATGATAGAAGGACCTAAATACACTATAAGTGGAAAACATTAAGTGAAATAAGTTTCATAATCTCCAGGACCAGGAAACTATAATGATGAAAGTTTCAGTTCTGTTTACAAAAAATAACCTATGTATACTTTGGGTCTAAAGCATCATACATCATAAAAGGATATCATTCCTGGTCCTGGACAATATGATTTAAACAGTTCTTACATTTCTAACAACTCAATTAAATTTCCAACATAACCAAGATTAACATCTTTAGAAAATGTTATATCTCCTGGACCTGGATGTAATTTGCAATATTAATTTTAGAATATAATATAGACAAGGCAGTCAAGTTATTATTAGAGAAATCTTAACCTTCTTGGGTGATAGGTACATCTTAAAGATCACCAGAATTAAGAAAATAAGACTTATAACCAGGACCTGGAGCATACCATTTAAAAAGTCTACTCAATTTATCTAAAAATTTCACAATTAAATAGAAATTGAGTACTAAAGATTATAGTTCCAATTAGCCTGGTCCGGGAGCATATGATTAGGATATTTCATCAATTAAATCTACTTATCCATCTTGTAAGATTGGTTCAGAATTGAGAAACTCATAAAATCTAATGGATAAATTAGTACCTGGACCTGGATAATATTATAGAGAGTAATTATTTGATAAATATAATATAGAAGATTATATAGTCTAAGTTCATTATAGAAATCAGCTCCTTCATTCAAAATGCCTTAAGCATTACGGAAAGATATCAATGATTCTGTAACAATTACTCCTGGACCAGGGTAATATTCATTACCATAGAATTAAAATACATAGATGGTCTCAATGAAGGGGTCAAATTATAATCCAAATATATCAGCATATATTCCAGGACCTGGATAATACAATCCAGATGATTCAGTATGTAAATATAAAGAAGGTTCAGTAAAAATTGTGCCAGAACACAAAACTAAATAATTATTAACATAGTATTAACCAGGACCTGGATAATATTCTGTTAAATCATCTCTCGAAGGTCCTTAATGGGGATTCTCAAAAGACATTCGTTAAGGATTAATAAAAAAAGATATAATTCCTGGTCCAGGTGCATATAATATCCCTCCTAAATTTAATGATGTTCCTAAGTATCTATTGCCTAAATAATTTTGAAACAATAAAAAATATTATTAAAATTATATAATGGAAAAAGAATTAGCTCATAAATTGGATGTGATTCTAAAGAAATTAAGTGATGATGTTCTAAAGATAGAACAAGATAAATTATAACATGTGTTTCATTCTGTTCATACTATATCTTGGATTGTAATTTAATCAATTGTACCTTACATCAGAGAAGAATTTAGAGGTTAGACTATAAAAGTGTTTTAATTGATTACATAATTAATTAAGTGTCTTAAAGATAATGATTTTGATGAAGTGACTAGAAAATTGTTTTAATAAAGAGCTTAAAGAAGAAGATCTCTTAGATTAATAAATTGTTCATTATGTGATAATTATCGTAAGATGCCATCTAAATAAGATACTAAATAAGCACATTATAAGAAGTATTTAGATTAATTGAAAAGAGATGGAGTTGATTTAAATTCTAAAATGGAACATATAGTACTGGAAAGAAAAATAAGAAAATTATCAGATGATGATGAATAATTTGTCTATAAGACATCAAAAGCATCTTAAGTTGAATTAGATGAATTATTACTTAATTAAAATACTAATCAAAATTAAAATCTAACAAATAATAAAACAGATACTTTTGATGCTGAAACTCAAACTGATACTATTCCATCAAAATTCTCATTATAAGCTATATCAGAATTGAGAAATCATTTTGTTAATTATTTTTATTTGCATTCTTAATATGAAAATGTAAAGTCAATTATTGAAGAAGGAATAAAGGCATGTCAAAAATAAAATGATATATTTTAAGATGTGAATTAAGATACTCCTGTTTTAAAAGTTAAATATTTTGCTTAATAATCTTTGTAACATGTGACTTAAGTGTTATAATAAAAAATAACTTAGATTGAAACAACTAAAGAATTTAAATCAAAAGAATTAAAAGAGAATTTACCTCCTTTAAGTGATATAATTAAGTAAGTATAATTACAAGAACATAAGAGAAAGGCAATAGAGGCAGGAATTATTGAATATGATCCTGAGTTTGATCCAGAATTATTATAAAATAAGAGAATTGAATTTAGAGTTAAGGAAATTAATGGTTAATAAGTAATAGAAGAAGTTGTAGTAGATGTTGAGAGTGGAGAAGTAATAAAAACTAGAGCCAGATAAAGTGATCCTCAATAAGAAATTATGTTAGAATAAGAAGAATTAATTAAATAGATAAAATCAAAGGAATAAACAATAGATGAAAATGAATGGATTGTTGCTAAATATGGAAATTAAAAAGTGAAGATTGTTTAAAAATCAGATGATGTTACTTAATATGAAGTTAATACAGCATAAACTAAAAAGATTGTTAGAGTTAAATCTGTAGATGGAAATAAATAATTAGAAGAAGAATGGATTGCATAATAAGCAGATGGAAAACATTAATATAAAGTATATTAATAGAATGGATAATTGTTATATGAAGATAAAGGTGAATCAGTAGGAATTAGATTATCAGCAAAAAGATTAGAACATAAAGAATCTATAATAGAAGAAAGGACAACTGAAAATGGAAGTGTAATGAGAATTTTAGAGAAATAAAAATATGGTTAAGATACTTTAAAGATTATTAAAAGAAATAGTCAACATGAAATTGTTGAATCAATTACTAAATAAGTTTTAAAAGATGATAATGGTGAAATGTATTAACATGAAGAAGAAGTTAAATAAGGTGGACTCAAAATTATGAGAAAGATATATGTAAATGGTGATGATTAAAGTAAGAAAATTGATGAAATAACTATTCATCCAAATGGAAGGAGATCTAGTATTGTAATGAAATAATATAAAGATAAAACAGAAGCTGTTTATAATGATGAATTTGGAGATGAAATTTAAGTTACTAAATATACATATATAAATGAAAAGGGTTTATAAGTTGAATGTCAAAGAAAAATGAATATGAGAACTAAAGAAGTATAAATGTAAAAGACTTTTAAAAATGAAGATGGTAAATAAACTATTGAAACTACTATAACTTTAGATGGATTAGAAATAGGAAAATAAATTATTATTTAAATAGGACCTAATGAAAGAATTGAAAAAATAACAAAAAATGGTAAGACAATTGAATAAAAGGTTATAATTGATGAATAAGGATAAGAATCTATTCATATGATTGATCATGAAAATAATATGAAAATTTAAACAACTAATTTTACTAAGAATTCTGTTGAATATTAATAATAAACAATTAATTTATCTAATGGTGCTAAAAGACATATACATTAAAGATCATATTTTGATGAAAATAATGAAAAGATAATTGAAGAAGATAGAGTTGATGAATTTGGATAAAGGATTATAATTAAAAAGAGAATTAATGCTTTAGGTGAAGAGATCATTTAAGAATTTGAAGTTGTAGAAAATGATGGATTTAATCCTGAATTAAGATAAATTAGATAATCATAAAAAAGATTACCTCGTGCAGAAATATAATCTGTTATTGTTATAGATATAGGAATATAAACAGAAGGTTAAATTCCATTATTTACACAAACTTAAGAGTAATTTTAATAAAAGAAATAGAATACATAAATTATTATTGATAAACCTGATTTTAATGAATTAGACAAAGAAGCTTTTAAAAAATTATAATAAGGTAAATCCAAAAATGATCCATAATTTTAAGAGGCAGTCAATTAAATTAAAAAATACTTTAATAAAGGAGATGGAGAAGAATTAAAATAAGAAGAATTTAATGAATATTTATTAAAGTTGAGATAAAATCATTAAAGATAATGTGGTGAATAATGTTCTCATTTATTGAGATTTTATGCTAAATTAGGTTTCTTGATATAAAAATCAGCTTTGAATAGACAAGTTTATAAATTACAAAAAGTATAACTGTAGGCTAAAGAATCACTTTGACTTGACTTGAATAATTTATATTAATATGTTNATGATAATGGTGAAATGTATTAACATGAAGAAGAAGTTAAATAAGGTGGACTCAAAATTATGAGAAAGATATATGTAAATGGTGATGATTAAAGTAAGAAAATTGATGAAATAACTATTCATCCAAATGGAAGGAGATCTAGTATTGTAATGAAATAATATAAAGATAAAACAGAAGCTGTTTATAATGATGAATTTGGAGATGAAATTTAAGTTACTAAATATACATATATAAATGAAAAGGGTTTATAAGTTGAATGTCAAAGAAAAATGAATATGAGAACTAAAGAAGTATAAATGTAAAAGACTTTTAAAAATGAAGATGGTAAATAAACTATTGAAACTACTATAACTTTAGATGGATTAGAAATAGGAAAATAAATTATTATTTAAATAGGACCTAATGAAAGAATTGAAAAAATAACAAAAAATGGTAAGACAATTGAATAAAAGGTTATAATTGATGAATAAGGATAAGAATCTATTCATATGATTGATCATGAAAATAATATGAAAATTTAAACAACTAATTTTACTAAGAATTCTGTTGAATATTAATAATAAACAATTAATTTATCTAATGGTGCTAAAAGACATATACATTAAAGATCATATTTTGATGAAAATAATGAAAAGATAATTGAAGAAGATAGAGTTGATGAATTTGGATAAAGGATTATAATTAAAAAGAGAATTAATGCTTTAGGTGAAGAGATCATTTAAGAATTTGAAGTTGTAGAAAATGATGGATTTAATCCTGAATTAAGATAAATTAGATAATCATAAAAAAGATTACCTCGTGCAGAAATATAATCTGTTATTGTTATAGATATAGGAATATAAACAGAAGGTTAAATTCCATTATTTACACAAACTTAAGAGTAATTTTAATAAAAGAAATAGAATACATAAATTATTATTGATAAACCTGATTTTAATGAATTAGACAAAGAAGCTTTTAAAAAATTATAATAAGGTAAATCCAAAAATGATCCATAATTTTAAGAGGCAGTCAATTAAATTAAAAAATACTTTAATAAAGGAGATGGAGAAGAATTAAAATAAGAAGAATTTAATGAATATTTATTAAAGTTGAGATAAAATCATTAAAGATAATGTGGTGAATAATGTTCTCATTTATTGAGATTTTATGCTAAATTAGGTTTCTTGATATAAAAATCAGCTTTGAATAGACAAGTTTATAAATTACAAAAAGTATAACTGTAGGCTAAAGAATCACTTTGACTTGACTTGAATAATTTATATTAATATGTTATAAACTAAGCTTTTTTAAAAATATGATGCACCTATTCCATAGGATAATATCCTATTCAAAACATAATTTTTCAAGATGAGTAATCATAAAGAAGTCACTCTACTTTTATGCAGTGATGATTTCATATACAAAATTAGTAATAAGAAAACTAAAGTATACATACTTAAACTCAATTGCGAAGTGAGATTCTCAGTTAAAGCTGAATAAACTTCAAAATAAATACATAAACAAATGAAAGGTGATGAATTTCATACATAAATATACAAATTTACTCTTGAAAGGGATGATTGTGATTCTGTTGAATTTTACAACTTCAATTTCTAAACTATGTATTGGTTTGATCACCTAAGAAACAAATTACACATGTTAGATTATTAAGTACATTATGAAATAAACAAATTAATTGGTAAAGGATCATTTGCATCTGTCTATGAAGCCAAAGGAAAAAATGATTAATAATTTTATGCTGCCAAAGCATTTTATAAAAAACAAGTGTTTTAAGATCTAAAAGGAAGGGATTAAGTAGAAAATGAAATTAGTGTGATGCGTAAACTCAACCATCCAAATTTGATCAATTTAATTGAAGTCTTTGAAAATAAAGCACAAATCTATTTAATTTTGGATTTGGCAAGAGGAGGCACACTTGAATATGCTTTAAAAGTCTTTAATGCCCCAGTTCCATTTTTAAGTACAAAAGTGATATTTAGATAAATCCTTGAGGGTGTACAATATATTCATGATTAGGGTATAATTCATAGAGATTTAAAACCAGATAATATTTTGTTTAGAGATTTTATTCCTCTTAAAAGGTATGGACTCATTAATGTGAGTAATAATATTATGATCAGTGATTTTGGAATTGCCACTCCTAAATAATAAAAAATGGCTGTATATTAATATTGTGGTACTCCAGGTTATATGGCACCTGAAGTATTTTTAACAGAAAATGATAATAATGCAACTTATGATGAGAAATGTGATGTCTTTTCTTTAGGTTGTATTCTCTATTATTTACTTATTGGTCATCCTCTTTTTGGATAACCAGTTAAACAGACAAATATGGAAATGAAGATTGATTATCTTCAAATAGAAAAAGATCTTAATTAAAGTCATTCATTAACTTTACTCTTACAAAAGATGTTATCACCGAATCCATAAGACAGACCATCTTGTAGAGAAATACTTGAATCTAAAATAATGGAAGTAGAGTATGGAGAAGATGGAATACCTTTGTTTAGAGATTTTTAGAGACCTAAAAGTAGTCCACCTAAAAGAATGTAGCCATTACATCCAGAAATTGATAGATCGTAATATTATATAATAATTTTAGTAAGAGATAGAGTGTGTTAAATCCAAAGATGATTAAATTGATGCCAATTCTTGAAGAGAAATAAGAATTACGAAACTCTGGAAAGGATAAAACTACAATTGTCACTAAATCAAGAAATTCTCATTTTGATGATGAGAGAACTCCAGCATAAAGAGTAGCTGCAGCTAGAAGATCTTCTGCTTATGTTCCATCTAGTAATTAGAATAGCAGGAAATGATCATAATCCTATATTTTTGTAATCATAATTATATTTTTATGTTATAAGAGAAAGCAGAAATGAAATCTGTTAAATTTTCAAAAGAAGATTATCCAGTAATCATGAAGAGCCTTGATGAATAAGATGTAATCAATAAGAGATTAAACCAAATAGTTTGAAACCTTTATCTCCTTCTTTAGAAATACCGAACTCTTAGTTGAATGTGAGTATATGCAAACACGCTCCAAATAAAAATTAGCACCTACAGAAAGTGCTTAATTTTAAATTGGTAGAAGAAACGTGTATGTTCAAACAACTGAAATGATAAAAATAAGGATACAGAATGAATGGGCGGGATTCATAAAAGGTCGAATTTATTACAGTGTTAAAGACATTGAAGAAAGGGATGGTGATTTCTAAAAGCTTGAAGAATGTACACCTAAAGACCTTTTTTTAACTGACTTAACATAATGGTTTCTATCAACCTCATTCATATAAAAAATAAAAGTTATTCCAATTGATTAGTCTAGTGAAGAGACAACAGAATTACAGGATGATGAATACTATACACGTGCAGAATATAATACATAACTATAGTAGTTTAACCCTCCTATAAAAGAATGGACTACATATTGCTATTGTAAAAAATTATATGATCCTGGTGAACGCTATATTCAATGTGATTCTTGTAATGAATGGGTTCATTATACTTGCAGTGGGAAAAGTGACAAAGAACTTAAAAACATTTCTAAGTTAAGGTTCATTTGTCTTCCATGCACAGAAGCAAATAGGAAGAAAAAATAATCTAATATTTAAGAGAATTCAACATAAGATGGTGATTCTACTAAGATTAGATCCTTTAATACTACATATGGAAAAAAGAAGAAATGAGATTAATTTTATATTCAAGACATATATATCCATATTATCATATATCATCCTTTACATATTAAAAATCTGGAGTCTCAACTAAAGTAAGTTGTCTAATTTATTTTCTTTTAACTTTTTTAATTCTTGTATAGTCATTTTCATCATCAAAAAAGACCTTTTTAGATGGGAAATATTGTTTAAACAGTTATTTATCTACTTTAGCTAAATTCATTGCAATAGATATTATCATTTCATTTTCTAAGTTTTCACGTTGTCTTGGAAATGTTCCTGCTCTCATTTTATATAAAACTAAAAATTTATGTAAATTATCCAAAAAATCTATTTTTGATTATGGTAATGTGCCATAATGATTTAATTCATCTTCAAATACACTATAGATTTCTTCTTCATCATTTTCAAACAAAGAGAATTCAATAACAGATTTTACTTGTAACCTTTTAGTTTGCATAGGCGATAAATCAGATAAAGAAAAATTAGATAAAGTTTTGCAAGATTCTTAACTCTATGATATTGTCTATACAATTTAAATTTGAGCAGGTCTACGTTTTCTTAGAGCCAGAACTATTTATGGTACTTCCCTTTGATTATAAGAAACACTTCCATATGGTTGAATTTCTAAAGCTTTGTCTGTTTATTCTAAATCATAAGATGTAATCGACAATCCAGGACTTACTCCCATTTATGAATTAGATTTTCTAGAATCATAGAAATCAATTTCTTAATCTATTTCATTAGAAGAAAACAACTTCTAATAACTCAACTAATCTATGTCCATCTCTAATTCTTTATTAGAATGTGTCTATGGTCCTTAATTTTAAACCTCTTCTATTGGTATATTTGGATCAGAAAGAGCTTAAGTAAATTTAAAAATAGACTTAGTCTTTTGAGTTTCACAAATTTTTAATTTTATCATAATCAATACTCAGAATGATCGCCCAAATTCACATAATTCAACTCTTTCTATAATAATTTATCATTACTAATTCCATTTAGTTAGAATTGATATTTTTTTATAATTAATAATCCTGTCATAACCTTAAATGAAGATAAAATAAATGAATTTAAAAAGCAGAATTTGTAAATCAAATATTTATATATCATTTTTGAAAACGTTTGTAAACAACTTAATGAAATAATTATGTAAACCTATACATATTTCATTATATTATATACTTTCTTTAATATTGAAAACTATAATTATCTCAATTTTATTGAGAATCAAATTTGAATGAATTTATTAATTCACATAATATCAACTCTATTATCAATAGATATAATTTACAACTTATATTATTAAATATTCTTTATAAATTTTCTAATAGAAATACCATTTGAAGATTCAATTTTAAACTATTTAAACCAAGGTCTATATAATATTATTTTGAACTTATAGGAGACTTAATTGAGACTAATATTTCATCTTTGAAACTTGTAAGTTGTTAGGATTAGATTTAAAAATTTCTATATACTAGTGTATTTTTTACTAAATTAGAAATTGAATATAATTAATAGACTTGAAGAAAAATCTCTTATTCAATGTGTAATCAAAAACAATATATTAATATAGATTCCTATATTCCTTTTTCTGATTTCTTATAAGAAAGATATTTTCAAAAAATATTAAATTAATTTTATCATTTATGAATAGCCAAGATGATTATAATTTTTAAGGCTCTTATAATATTATTGCAAAAAATATTTGTGTAGGGTAAATATTATTAAATACTTAGTTGCCAAATGGAATAATAAGTGTAAAAATTGCAAATTTAAAAGGAGTTGACTCTTGAAGTATTCCTTACTTTTACCTCTACCAAAACAAAAAAAAAGATATATCAAGCTAATTTATTCAATGATATTAAATCAAGAACACACTACTTGCAAAAAGAAGACTAAAATTATTTAATTGAATGCCTAGAACAATTTGAAGAGAACCTTATTAATCAATTTTGTTAGAAATAGAAGCCACTAAAAGAAATTGTATTAATATTGAATACTACTGGATGATTATCTTATTCAATATATATAGATTAATAAATTACAATACCAAATATTGATTGAATAATTATCAATAATCATATTGGGAATTCTAATCTGCTATATCAAATACATATTTTACAATTCTTTATATATGATGCTAATGTTCTTTAGTATCTTGAAGTATATAATTTTCAAAAATTTTAAGTAGATAATCATGATATTCATAAGATCACGTCATTTATATTTTTATTTAATTCTGAAAATCATAAAATTAAATGGTAGCAATTCTTTTCATAAAAAGTCTATTATTTTTTATAGAACAATCGTTTTCAAAGTTGCTTAATTGTTTTAAAAAATAATAGTTTATTCTAATAATATTATATAATGTATATAATAAGAATTTTTGATAAATGTTCAGAAATTATGCTTATTTCTTTTGCAATATTATTTTGCTAGTTAAAATATTTAAAATATTTTAAACTATTTTCTCATAATTTAGCAATATCTATTTTGTCAATTTTATAAAAATTTTAATGTTTGATATACACATTATTTAGTAATAATATTACACTTTAATTGGAATTGAAATACTTTAGTTTATGTTTTTAAGAATTCATTTGATAATTTAAAATCTTTTTCAAATAGTCTAAATAATATATAAAATGTATTTGTAAAATTAAAGAAGATTTTTCATAATCAAAGAATCATCATTAATTTGATAAAATTAGAAAGCTAATATAATTTTATAATAAAATTTTTAGTTTTCTACTTTCATTTTCTTTTAATATTTAAATCAGAATATTTTATTAAATCATTATAAAGATATTGAATTTTATGAAAATTAATATAACCAACTTTAATAATATTTTTTAATATATTCTCTGATTTTATTGTATAATATCATCTTTAGTTAATTGGTCTTAATTTTAAAGAATTATCGTATTGTACAAAAGCAATTTCCTTGTTAGTTGCTGATATCTCGTTATTAGTTATTTCAAAATTCCTTAAAATATTTGCAAGGATTATCTGATAAATTATCGTTACTAAACTTGACCCAACACAATTTCTTGGTCCATTTGAAAATGGTATAAAAATATAATTATTGTTCTCTTTAATGGATTAAGATTAGAGCCATCTCTAGTAATCGAATACTTTAGGTTTATCATAATATTTTTCTTATAAATTAGTAATTGAATAATCTATCATTACAATCCAATCTATGAATGATTAAAAATATATCTACCTCTATCTAATTTTAAATCTTTTATGAAGTGAGATTTTTACACCTTTCTAACAATAGGAAGAGGATTAATGAATCTCAACACTTCATTTAAGAAAGCACTTAAGTGTACTAAGCTCTTTAATTCTTGAGTTTGAATAATTTCTAATTTGCAAAAGCTCAATATTTCTTATCTTAATTGATTCTAGATTTCTGGATATTCTGCCAAATAGTGTAAACTTGCTTAAATTATTTAAGTGGTTGTTTAACTGCCTATTTTAAAGAAAGTAAAGAATTGTTATTTTATTTCCTCAAAAGATATTCTATTGTTCCCTTTTTTAGATTAAAGATAAGCTTAAATATATAAACTAAGGAAATCATCTGGAATTTGGGATATTTCATTTTCATCTTCATCCAATTTAAGTTCATGTTAAACTATTCTTTTTTGAATAATTTTTTCAATTGAGAACTTAATATTATTTATTTTTGTTTGAATGATTTATTCTTCTGCATTAGGAAACATTTTTAAAGCTTAGACTCCAAAAAGAATTTTTTTACATAAATAATAGGGTTTATTACTAAGTTTTGATAAGGATTAAAACAAATCTATAGTTTCTAGTCCTATACATTTGTGATTAATCTACAATTTATTTGCATCTTATCCAAAAAAGCTATAAAGATAAATATCACTGATTATTTTCAATATTAGACTTTTAATATTATCATTAGATTAATCATATTACTTGATATGTTTTTGAATAATCTCATTTATGGTTGGTAAATTACTTTTGAGTTTCTCAATATCAAAATACTAAATAAATAATTCCCTTTATTTCTTCCACTTTTCTCCCTATTGAAACATTATTCCTTCATCCAATAATTGGCTTGATTAAAAATATTATTTTACTTTGAATTTAAATCATTAATTTAAGAATAATTTTCATGGTTGATTAACATGTATTGATAATAATCAGGATCAATGATTAAGATTTAAACAGTCCAAGCGAAATTATGTACAATAAAATTGACAGTTTTTGGTATCGATTGTCTCCTCATCTTCTCAATTAAAGATGAGCTATGCAATCCCAAAATTTAATATATTCCAAACTAGATTCTACAAGCTGACCCAAATTATAATTTTAATTTCATCATAACAACCAAAGGCTTGATTAAAAACAAACAGAATAACATCCCAAAAAGTATTAGTAATATTTAGATTAACATTTAAACTTATTTAATATAATTATTAATACTTCTATAATTTAATACGAATTACATGTTATAATATAAAAAGAATCAAATAATTTATCTTATATCTACATTTTTATTCATTTATTTAATTTTCTTTTGGTCTTGATACTTTAAATTTCTAACTTTCAAATCATAAATCATTATACTCCTATGTAGCTTTTGGATTTTATTTTACTTTTAAGATGAACAACAAAACATTTCTAATTATACTAGTCATTCATTGAAAAATGTAAAAGAGTTTATAAAATCAGATTATCAATATTTTAATCTTTAAATTTATTAATTTAAAAATGAAGATCAATTAGTGTTTCTAATTTTGCTATTTTAGTTGTATTTACTAAATAAAATAACAACACTATTGTTCCTTTTTCCATAAAGTTAAATTTACTAACAGTTCCTTAATCTTCAAATTAATAACAGAATCAATTTTATTTGAAGTCTTGATTAATATTCCTTCTCCAACCTTCTTTTTGTTATACATTTTATATTTTGTGATATTTAAATTTGGATCAATGATGAACTTATTTTTTAAGAATATATTAGAAGTTTTGGAACATGAACGATAAATTCATCTTAATAATCTTCTATAAGTTTTAAATAATTTTCAAAATTAAAGCTTCTGTTATTTAAATATTGATTTTGAATAATTTATTTATTTCAATATTATCATTATAAAGAGAATTAATGGTTAGTAAAATTTTTAGATTCAATATTTGAATTAGAAATAAACAGAATTTATGTAAAATCAAAAAAATCTATACTATTTTTACAATCATCTACAGAGTTTATTATATATTCAATCTATTAAATAGTTTTTAAAAAAAGTAATTTTTATTTTATAAAATAAAGTTTTTTTGTAATATATTTAGTTTCATTCAAATTCTACTTTTTGCAAATTTATTATAATTGAGTAGATTTTCTTAAGTATCCTATATTTTACCAATTTAAATAAAAACTATTTATCTAATTCACTGTGCACTTCACTACTTTTTAAATAAATTTCTTAAATAACAACATAATTTTTCTGAATTGCTTTACAAAATTGTTAACATTCAATCTTTACTCTGCGTTAATCTTATTATTAATACACTCTCACAGATTATACTAAATAAAATTTTGCACTGCCATGTTTGTATTTTTAGGGTTAGGTTAGTGAGAAAACTTTGGGAAGAAATATGATATTAGTTCCTACTTCAATATGATCATCTGAAAGTTTTCTTTCCAATTCCATAAATTCATATTTGCATTAAATTTCTTTCTTAACTTTTTCATTAAATTTATTTTTCTTTAATTTTCTTTATAAATTGTTAATAATCAAAAATTTTTTTCATCAAAAGTAATAATTCTGAAATTTTCACTGGTTTTTAACAGATTATGAAGATTAACTGTTACATTTTTATAATCTACAATTTAGCCTTTCTAATTAAATTAGGCATTTTTATAATCTTCAATATATTATATCTTTTTGTATTCAATAATTGTGCCTTACAATAATTTAAAGTTTCAAAAGATGAATAAATTAATATTATTGATAAGCCATATATATTAAATTAAATCCTTTATTGATATTCTAAGAGCTCTTAAAACAAAGTAATTAAAAAATGTTTCCCTTTAAACTTAACAGGATTAATGAGAAATTATCATCATTAATCATATAATAACTTGGTAACTCCATGTATATATAAATATCGAAAAAGATATATCGTTTCTTTAATTGAGATCTCGACACTTTAATTAATTTAATGTGTATAAACCATTTAAATTTAATAAATAGGATCAAGATATCTTAATTTGAGAATTTAGGTCAATATAAAGATAATGTAATAGATTAGTCATGATTTAAAGAATTCTATTTTTATAGTTTAATCCATGATCACATTAATATTAGATTATTTATTTGAATTATCTGAAATGGAAACAAATTTAGTTGCATTTTTGAAAATATAATCCTTGTTGTAGAGATGGGTTTAAAAAATTTTCAAATTTTATAATAATTTGGTGTGATTTATAAGATTTTGCTTAGATTAAAAAGTTAAAACTAACGAGATTGATACTTTGTTTGATTTAGGATTTTTAAGTTTATTTTAAATCTGATAAAAAAAAAGAACTTATAATTAGATATTTTTTCTAACTTAATTCATTATCTTTAAATAATGATCCTTTGAATATTAAGCAAATCAATTAATTTTAATTTCTAATGCAATAAAATTAAATCAAAAGGAACAATATCATTACTTTTTTTGATGATCTATCAAAATTTTTGTATATTTTCTTAAAATGTCAAGGAGTTAATTTAAACTAATAAATCAGTAGTAGATTTTAATACTCTATTTACAGATCAATAAAAGTTGATTTTTTGTACAGTTTCTGACAATCATAGTGGAATGAGCCAAGAAATTTATAGATGACACTCAGAAATTTTATCACCCAAGAAAATGATATAGATGAGAAAAATACAAATATACAATGATGAATAAATTAATAATTTAGTATAGTAACACAAATAAGTAGAATATTGGTATAAACTGTTTAAAATGGCGTTTTTTTAGGATTGATCATCAGTAAATAGTTGTGCAGATACATAAGGCCATTCTAATAATAAGTTGCCATTTATAAAAATTTTGATAGATTGCATCTCTTCTAACTCCATAGTATAAAATAATTAACATGAGTAATTGATTAAATATTCTACTTGTTGATGAGTCATTTAATAATATTTTACTTAAAATATCATAATAAAAATAGAAATCAATAAATGGGATAATGATTTAGGGGAAACTAAATGTTATGAAATTGTATTTTTGGATATTAATATACCTGTAAAGAATGGATTATAATGTATTATAATTATTGTATTAGGATTTTATCTTAAATTGTTATGAATTGTAAATGCATATTNGATAATGTAATAGATTAGTCATGATTTAAAGAATTCTATTTTTATAGTTTAATCCATGATCACATTAATATTAGATTATTTATTTGAATTATCTGAAATGGAAACAAATTTAGTTGCATTTTTGAAAATATAATCCTTGTTGTAGAGATGGGTTTAAAAAATTTTCAAATTTTATAATAATTTGGTGTGATTTATAAGATTTTGCTTAGATTAAAAAGTTAAAACTAACGAGATTGATACTTTGTTTGATTTAGGATTTTTAAGTTTATTTTAAATCTGATAAAAAAAAAGAACTTATAATTAGATATTTTTTCTAACTTAATTCATTATCTTTAAATAATGATCCTTTGAATATTAAGCAAATCAATTAATTTTAATTTCTAATGCAATAAAATTAAATCAAAAGGAACAATATCATTACTTTTTTTGATGATCTATCAAAATTTTTGTATATTTTCTTAAAATGTCAAGGAGTTAATTTAAACTAATAAATCAGTAGTAGATTTTAATACTCTATTTACAGATCAATAAAAGTTGATTTTTTGTACAGTTTCTGACAATCATAGTGGAATGAGCCAAGAAATTTATAGATGACACTCAGAAATTTTATCACCCAAGAAAATGATATAGATGAGAAAAATACAAATATACAATGATGAATAAATTAATAATTTAGTATAGTAACACAAATAAGTAGAATATTGGTATAAACTGTTTAAAATGGCGTTTTTTTAGGATTGATCATCAGTAAATAGTTGTGCAGATACATAAGGCCATTCTAATAATAAGTTGCCATTTATAAAAATTTTGATAGATTGCATCTCTTCTAACTCCATAGTATAAAATAATTAACATGAGTAATTGATTAAATATTCTACTTGTTGATGAGTCATTTAATAATATTTTACTTAAAATATCATAATAAAAATAGAAATCAATAAATGGGATAATGATTTAGGGGAAACTAAATGTTATGAAATTGTATTTTTGGATATTAATATACCTGTAAAGAATGGATTATAATGTATTATAATTATTGTATTAGGATTTTATCTTAAATTGTTATGAATTGTAAATGCATATAAAGCATTAAATATATAGATTCTCAAAACTCATTTAATAAATATCCAAAATATTAATTAATTATAGCTATAATAAGGATTTATGATTTTAATAAAATTAATTATAAAAATCGTTCCAACTAAATGATATGGTTAACTCTACTATGGATTTCATAGGGATATATAATTTATGAAGAGAGTACATTTAGATCATTTAATGTAATAAACAAAGGATTTATTTGTTTTAAAAATTATGAAAGGACTTAGAATGTATATTTTAATGATTCTTTTCGAAATATCCCAAAAATAATTTTAATACCTGAATTATTTGATATTCCAACTTAATCAGTTGATTACTCCTTAGAAATTTTGGCTGTCACAGAAAAATGTAATAAAGAAATATAATTAGATTTTACACTGAAAATTAAATGTTCGGATGGTATAGTGAATGGAATTCTATATCGATGGATTGCAATTGATGATTAAAGAATAACAGTGATTAGCTAATTTAACATCAAAGATTTTCAAGAAAAAAACTTTGAATTTGATAATGCTAATACTCAAATATATTTTATATCTCTAATCTCTGTATCATACATAGGAATCGTGGATTTTCAAGTTTAAGTAATATTCAAGATATAGTAAGGTTTCTGGAATAACATAAGATAAAGTCTCAGTTATGATCACGAGTCTTGATGGATAACTTTCTAACATACTATCATTTGGATATTAGATTGTCTTAGGAACAGAAGACATTTTATAACCTTTGGGGATGAAACAAACAGATTCCTTAAAAGCATTTATTAGCTAATAGTATCCTTTGAAATCAGAATCTTCTTTTGTCATCCCTTTAAAAGGACTTTAATATGATTCAATTAATTTATTGAAGTTTATGAAAATCTATCATTTTGATGAGAGTTTCTAATGGTATGAATTTACAGCAAGTAGATTTTATGGTTTATTTAGTCGGATGTTGTTGTAATGTAGCTTAAATTCATGAGCCTGTTTTGATAAATTATATGTCTACTTTTTAATTTACACCTTTCATTTTTGGCCAGGTTCAAATTAAGTAAGTAGTTGATAGCAAAATTAATTATATAAACTCTTTTTAAGCTTAAATTTAAGGGAATAGTCATCTTATTACAAATTTAGGAGAGACAAAACATAGAATTCACAAAGACAATAAATCCATCTTTTTATCAATAAATGTAAAATGTAGTTCAAATGAAATTCTCTTATTAGAATTTTATTATGGTTCAAATCCTCATATTGATACTAAGTATTTTAAGCACAAGTGTAATGGAATTTTCAAAGAGATATTTTATACTGTATAACTTGTACCAACAGTTACTGCCTATTAATACCTAATAATAAACATAGCAGAGGAAAAATGTGAAATTTCTCAAATACTTTACAACCAATAATAATAAAGAGTTAAATTATTTGAAATCAAGAAAACAATACTGTGATTTACATCTAATTTATATCTTTAATTATCCTTTAGTATTCTTTATCTAATAATTAAGAATATTATTCAATATTTATAATATATAGATGAATATTAATTAAGTATTATGAGTAATAAAGTTTAATTTATATTTATTATCTCAATTTCTGATTCTTCTTATTTTCCAAGATTTTCTTGTTGATTGATTGTTGATTTTAAAAGAAATATAAATAGTCACTTAATAATAAGTTTGTAAATAATTTTCTTTTCATTATTTTAGACTTAAAGAAAACTAAATTCAAATGGAGTTTTTTCTATGTTAGTATTATTAACCATAAATAGCCAAATAAGATATTTAAACTTTAAAGTACGATAATAAAAATATCTTGATAATAAATTTATTTATATAATCTATCAAATAATAAATAGTTAAAGAGACACTTGGAAACCATGTATTAATTTGAATATTTACAAATATAAGTTAATTATACCTAAGATTATATATCATCAACTTTTTGATATTGTAAACATTCTTTCAATGTTTCACTATGTAATTACAAGTTTTATTCAAAGGATTGGGATCTGAATTTTAGATTGATTCTTGATTATAATATTTCATAGATTCGAATATGAATATAAAGCTAATAGTTTGAAATAAAATGATTTATTTTCTAAAAGATTACATGGAATATCTAGCTTATTGAACATAGATATTTTTTCTCACCAATAAGTTCTATGATTATCAATACACTTTTACAATTGTTAAATAATTATTTTCGAAATAAGTTCCCATTTGCATTATATATTATCGATTAAGACTGAAAGCTAATTGTTAATTATTAGCATCAGATTTTGCAAAAAATGAATAATTAAAATTTTCTATCGGATTTATAAGTAAAAATGAAAATAACATATATATATTTTCTTTCATAAATTTTCCAAATAATTATTTGCAATTCTATTACATTAAAATTGAAATTCTAGCAAACCATTAAAAGTCAATCATGAGTTGTTTACATAAAAACCTTTCGCATATTGTTTTATTATTCATTTGATTCTACCATGGATTTATTCATGATTTTAACGATATTTTTAATTAGAATTTTATAAATAGTAATGAAAAATTTTGTATTTCTATTAAATTTATTTACATATTCAATAACAAATAACATATATTAGGAATATATTATTTATTAAATTTTGTTTCATTCATAACATAATTCATAAATTTAGTAATTTTTCAACAAATAGTCCCAAATGACTAAAAACTTTCCATCTTAAGACAAATTACCAAAAAATACACTACTGGAACATTCAATAGAATTGGAATCAACTTTAAATTAATTAGTTTCTTTATCTAAAAGAATAAAATAGATTTTGCTGTTGAACTTTTAAATTATGACTTTTTTTTCATTATTATATAAGGTTGGGAATAAGAATAATTAAGTCTTAGTTTTACATTTCGATTATTCCAATTTCAACTGATTTATCTCGACATAAATGTCTTTTTTTAATTCAAAAAAATGAATATATGGCTGATCGCTTTATTACCAAGCAATCATTGTGTCTGTGATATAGGAAACTCCACAACCAATATCAGAATATTAATGATCAATTAATTGATTAAAAATCCATTTTTAATTGGCTTTTTTTTTCCAAATAATAATTTTTTAATCATAACCTGTAGACACAAACTCTGTTTCTTATAAATTGATACTTAGACCAATTACGGCTTTTTCATGTCTTTATAATTCATAATCAAACTCAATAGATTTCAAGGGAAGATTTATTTTCCAGATAAAAATTTAGAAATCCTAACTGCATGATATCAATTAATCCTCTTATTTATTTAAAATTACACAAGTTACTAGACCTCCGTGAGATTTATTACTAGCTTACTTATACCATTTATCTTTATGATCATAATAAAGTTTAATTGATGAATCAAAGCTACCTGCTATAAAAAAATTAGTTCTTCGACTAAAAACTAAAGAAGTTGCATAATCTGTTTCACTATCTCCGTAAATCTATTATATGCAATCAATCTGCTTTCCATCCTGAAATCTCCATATCTTAATCGCATCTTATGAACAGCTAACCATGATTGTTCCTTATTAATTAAATGCTAGGCTATAACATATTTCTTTTTAAAAAATTTAATTAATGAGTTTATATTATAATTCTTTTTTCTGTAATTAAGATTCCCAAATGCAAAAGTTTTTAAACAGTATTTCAATTTTATCTTGTTCTATTTCCTTCTTTAAAGAGTCTTTAGCTAATATTATTTTTTATAAATAGGAAGAATTTACTTATTTAATAGAATCTTCATATGTCTTTTTCAAGATCTAAGACGGTTAAGAATATAGACCTTACTAAATTTCTATCTTATACTAACTTAGATTTGGTTTTTATTAAATTACTAATTATAAAGCTTCTGACCAATCTATTAATAAAAATATAGCTTAATCCAATTTAATCATTAATTCTTTTCTTAATCTTTCTAATTCACTTTGGAATTTTTGAATCCAATTATTAATTGTCTTTATAACTTCAGATATTTCTTAAAGCAAATTTTATTAAATATTTTCAAAAATTTTGTTATTGTCTTGGTTAACTATTATTCCATCTTTTTCTTTAATGTCTAAATTAATTTTATCCTTTTCAATTTCTGGTATATGATTATACTTAAAGTCCATTTTTTCATTGAAATTTTTATTCATTCTAAAATTATTAATATTTATAATCATAAAGCAAACCTTTAAATAGGTATATTAATTTAACGTAAATCATTCCATGAATAATTGAAATTAAAAGTCTGATACTTATTAAATAGAAATAAACTCTAAATTATTGAAAAAATTGTATTATTAATATATTGAAAATTGAGAAAATGAGAAATTGTTTGATAATTTTTGCAAAATTCTAGAATATATTCAAGAATCATGATAAAAAATATCAAATAAATAAATTTTTTTCTCACTACTTTAATAACTGCATATTTGATTATAATAAAATTTCAGTTAAATCAAATTTCAAAGAAATTATTTATTTATAATTCTAAATCATGAATCAAAAAATTTGAAAATGAAACTTTTGAATGATAATTAATTACAATGAATAAACTGAAAATATTATTGCTCCTAAAGAAAATTATCAACCAATTTTTCAAGATAAATGGATTAATTATAAATAATACTATAATCATATATTTTTAGATCAAAATGATATTAATATAAGCAGATATAATATATATTTATAAAATATATAATATATATTTATAAAATATATATTGAAATTCTATTACTTTTGGCCCTATTATCATAAATAAAAATAAATATTAAAAAGATAGAATGAGTAAATAAGAGGAGATCCAAGATATAAATAATGATAAAACCGAAAGTTAAATAAATACAGAAAAAGCAAATGCCTATTATTGGAAAGGTTTTTATTGATATTTTTAGAATTAGGAAATGCCTTACAAAAATTCGGAATGTATCATGAATCCATAGAAGCCTACTCCGAAGCAATTGAGATCGAACCAATAAATTTTAAGGCATATATTGGCAAATGTCAATTTTAAAATTTATCAAAAGGATTTGTTTAATATTGAGAAAGTTCATATGATTAAGCTATTGAGTAATACTCAAAAGCTATTGAAATTGATCCATAATTTTCTTTCCCTTATAACAATAGAGGCAATAATTTATAACTATCATATAGGATTACTTAATTATATATTACTTTAGTATGATAGAGCTGTTGAGGAATACTCAAAAGCAATTTTGGTTGATTCATAATCATTTATATCGTATTACAATAAAGGTGAATATTCTAACTATTGAATAGCTATTGCCTATCATCATTTAAAGAATTATGATGATGCTATAAAAGGTTTCTCATATGTAATTTAGATTAACACAAATTATCCATGGCGTATTTCAATAGAGGAAATAGTATTTATAATAGAATTAGGAAATATTTATTTAGAATTAGATCTAATTTATGAAGCTATTGAGGATTTTAATAAGGCAATTAAGATAGACCCAAAATTAACTCTTCCAATAAATCTAGGTTACTTATAATATAATTGTTTAGAAAAAATTAATTAGACCAATAATATATACTCTGAGGCACTTTTTATTTCTCGAAGGCCATTGAACAAAATCCATAAAATGCCAAAGCTTATAACAACAAAGGTAAAAATCGATGTCTTATCAACAGGATTTGTTTTATAACACTTGAAATAATATGAAGATGATATAAAAGATTTCTCAGATGCGATTAAAATAGACCCAAAATTAACCACAGCATATAAAAACAGAGATGAATATTACGATTTTATAGTTAGGAAATGTTTATTCTCATTTAATGAAATATCCTGAAGCTACTCAAATGCAATAGAGATTGATCCATAATCTGCAAAGGCATATAATCATAGAAGTAACTATTCACAATAAATAATTAGGTAATGCTTATATTAAATTAGATAGAATTGATGATTGTAATAAGGATTACGAATTAGCAAATAAAATTGACCCAGAAAATAAGAATAATAAATGTAAATATTACGAATTATTAAATAGGGAATGTTTAATTCGATTTGAGCATATTTGATATACCAAAACAATCTAATTGTGAATTTTATTATTATATTAGAAAAATAATTTTAGAAAAATATAAATGCAATTAAGATAGACACTTAAATAACAGTAGCCTATTAATTAAAAGGTGAATATTAATAATTTATCATAAGGATTAACTAATTGTATGTTGAAAGATTATGAAAAAGCATTAAATAAGATCGACATAAAACTTTAAACTAATTTATAAAAAGCTTAAATATATTTTTAAAAAGGTTTATATTTACATCCTATAATTAAGATGTGTTTTAATTTAAAGTCATAAAGAAGAAATAATTAAATGATTTGAAATTATTAATATTTCATATTAATTTTTAATCAATTCTAATCATCTAGGAAATTTTGGTTTAAAATTAGTCAAAATTCAAGAAGAATCAAATATATTAAATTCCTTTTAATATTTTAACAATAGAAGTTGTTCAAGATTTTCAGTTAGTTTCCCTTTTTGAATAAATTAGAGAAAACTCTATAATATGGAAATTATATTCTCTGATTCTGTTTTATTGCCCAAAGAAAGGGTAGATATATCATAGTATAGGTTATAAGTAGTTGATTCCTAAATTATGTAGAGGTTTTTTAATCGATAATTTATATTAGAAAAATAGAATGAGTTAGATAAGAATTAAAGTATTTATTTCAATATCAACTTTTTGTGATCGAAAAATATGTTAATTTTAAAGTGAATTTTTTAATAAATTTACTTAATAATTAATATTATTTAAATTACAAAATAGAAAACTAATTTTTTAAAGGGGCTCTAAAAACTTATTAATATATGAATTCTTTTTGGATTATTTAAAGAGTTGAAATTAGAATAATATAATAGTCTAGATTAAAATTAGATTATATTTTATATGATAAATAATTAAGTTCATTATGGTTAGATGCTAAATCTTTAATTATGTAACAAGCATAATCAAGTAGTAAACAACCATATTCTCTAACATTCTGAATTAAATCTATGCTCGAAATTAATGAATGATTTTACATAAGAAATTTACAATTTAAGTAAAATCAACAGTTTTAAATAATTTATATCATAATTCTAACGGAATATCATCATCATTTTGTACTCAAATATTTATCATCCCTTGAGTTTATTCAATTTAAGAATGTATTCAAAATCTTAGTCACAACCATACTAAAACTCATTTCATTAAGAATATTCTCGTTTATTTACTTATGAATACCAAGATTTTTGTTAAAGCTTAGCCATAAATCATAATAAAACACTTTTAGCTATATCAGGAAAGAATCATGTAAGAATACTCTTATTCAAATTAAGGAAACTAAAATAACTCTAAATATTTCCAAAAATATAAAGAAGTATCTCTTAATTTAATTTCTTGTAGAGAAGATCATTATTAATTTGTTGTTATAAAGATGGATCTATAATTATATGGTCTTTAAATCTCATATCAAATCCAAAATATTTGTTTAAACTTAGGAAACATATGCAAGCTATATCAAGTATGGTTGTGCATATAGAATAGGTTTTATTACTAATGGACTTTTTGCATTTTAATCAAGAATACCTAGAAATCGTCTTTTCTTATACTAGCTTGATGAAAATACATAAATGTTCAACAAATTATAAGATGTAATAGTAGAAGGTGTAGGAGGTAATAAAACATGTGCTATATTCTTCCCTCTTGTTTATATAGATAATAAACAAATTCTTATATCTAAAAATGGATAGAAAATTAATTTAATAAAATTAACATTCTCTCCATCAAATTAATTATTCAATTAAATTTAAACAATAGATTATGGATTCTAACCAAATGGCTGGCTATTTGGTACTGTCACACAAGATGGGGAATATTTGATAACCTGGGATCAAAAGTCTAAGAACATTTAAATACGATCATACTAAGAAAAGATAATGAAATAAGAATAAAACTGAAAATATATTATATATATATTTTTGAAACTATTAAAAATCATATTGTAATCACTCTTGAATCGTCAATAAATTAAAATGAAACTGTGGAGTTGGAATCAATAAATAGTATTAGAGTTGCAACAGTTAATATACCTTTTTATTTTAAACAGTTTCTAAAAATTGGAATTGGATACCACATTTTTAAGTTTATACATAAAATGAATATTTATTGTAAAGAACAATTCCTCTCAATAGTAGAGAGAGATCCTGCTTTAATAATTTCCCTTTCATATTTAATAGATAAAAATGTATACTTCTTGGGAAATTACATTAATATGTATTAGTACTTTAGCCATAAAAAAAACTTTCAATAAAGATAAAGAAAACCTTATTAATTGTCTGCATTTTCTTCCATCTTAAGATCCTCAATAGGACCATTTTGACACTTAAAAAAAGAATGATAAAATTAAAATGAATTCCTTAATTGTAAAATTTCAATTATATTTCAAAATCTTTTCATTTAACATCAAAAACTTTTTTAAATCTATTAAGTAATTTTAAATACTTCACCGCTTGAATTTACTCAAATACAAGTATTTATTTTTATAAGCATAATTTCACTTAATATCTGACCTAAAAATCTTATGATACAAGTACAATGTCATCGCAAAATGTTTTCAAATCTTAAAACAAGATTTTAAAGTTTAGCAATTCAAAAGATTACAAACTGAATAGTTCAATCAATTTGAGAAAGGTTTGTTTTAACAAAAAAATTAATTTAGGACTAACAAACTAAAATTTATCAAGATAAAAAGTAGTTAACAAAAATTTAGTTTACATTAAATTAACCTAATGATGTACTTCAATAAGTGTAAGACATTGATTAAGTGTCTAAAATAAAGATGATATAGAGTTAATTTCATTATGTCGTTGTTAGTATACTAAAAGATTTAGATCCATCTCTTGGTATAATTATTCATAGTAATTGTATTTATAATTTATAAATTAGATATAGTAAATAAAATGATTAAGTTATTAAATTTTATACAATATTAATATATAATTAACAAGATAAAATTCTGACCCTTATGCCATGTAAAAATATCAAGTTGTAAAACAAAACTAATCTTAAAAAGTCTGCTTGGAGCAATAAAATTAGATGGATTTTTTGTCTATTAAGTTTTATTGGGAGATTTAATACGCTTATCTATATGAATACATTTAATTTTATTAATCATAAGATTAAGTAATCATTATAAAGAATAGGAATTTTTAATTTTATTTGATAACAACCCATATATAAAAATAGAAAAATAATAAATTTATTGTTTAAGGTAAGTTATTTATTTCTTCCATAATGCACTCTCCAGTTAACCCTATTGAAATTTATGGTAAAGTTTACGGAAACATATAATTACAAATAGTATTTACATTTCCTTCAAAACTCTTACAGAAGTTCTAAAATAGTTTAGTTTAATAACTTAGACAACAGATCAAATCACAATTACTGTTATTTTAAGATTCAATATTTAAAGAAATTCTCGTATTGAAATTTATATTTTCTTTTGAAATTAATAATTATAATCTTAAATAATACTAATATGATTTTATTTATTTTAAATTATTTTTATGTCTGGTGAAAGTTATAGTTTCCTGAATTAGGACTAATCAACTAGGTGTGCATCAAGCCTAGAACATCTACATAGGATATCTACACCAGTTTTAATTTATAGCTAAGAAAAAATACAGGGTTGCATGAATGAGCCTGCATTACTAATGTGGAATCTACCCTTATTTCTAATTGAAGCCTAATTTGGAAGTCAAAATCAATAGAAAAAATCTTTTGATTCAATATAAATAGTTACTAGCAGTATGCTTTGTTAGCTTTTCAATCCTAACAATAAAACCCAAATAAAATTATTCTCTTGGAACTTAAAAAAAATGGACAACAACAGTAAAAGAATAAGAAATTCATATTGTTAAGATTTAATTCACTATTGTAATCTTCATATAGATATTTTATTAACTACCATTCAGAGTTTTTGATAATTAATTTATTTTTCAAGTCAATTAGGATAAATTAGAGAAATTTTAGTATCTAGAATTTTTTATTATCATTTATCAAACTATTTTTCTCTTTATCTTGAAGAAGTTTTCATGCACTCTTCTCCTAATTGCTTGACTTTTACTGTCCCTCTTAATAAATTGGGCATTTTCATCCGATTGAAGCTATGAAATGTTTAAATATTTTTTGGTTGTTGATCATAATTTCATTTATTTCTTTTTGGATTTTTATCCCTGAAAGTGTACTTTCATAAAACTCTTGAATCAAATGTGGCTTCAGTACAAGCATTTTAGATAAAAACTATTTTGTTTATGATTCAAGAAATTATTAATTTTACTAGCATTATTAACACTCAAAAGTTATAAGAGTACAATCCTTAAAGAGATAAAGATAAAATAAATAATATTAAAATAATAATAATTTTGATTTATAAAATTCATAATTCATCATCTGAATCATATTCTTCTTCTATATTATCTTTTTAATAAAAAGAGCATACTACAACAGATGTTATTAATGCAATAATGGTAATTCCAAACAATATGTAAAAGGATGTTTTATCAAATAAATGATCTTTTTGAATTTTGAAATTGATTTTAGCTTATCCTGAGTTATAATAATTATAGGCTGTTAAATTTATATATTTTTTATTTTTTGAACTTGATCCTCCTAAACTTATATTAATGGAGAATATATTCAATTAAAGTTCTAAAGTGCTACCATTATTGAATAGAATTAATATATTTCCGGATGAATTACTCTAAGCTATAAATGAAAAATCATTAACTAAAGTTTAATTAAGTGAAAATATATATCCACCTTCATAAAGCAGTGGATTTTATATATTAACATTTGTTTTATTAGAAATATTGTAAAAGATAATCATATGTGTTTGATTAGTTTGGTTTTAAGTGTTAGAATACATAAAGAATAATAATTATGAATTATATTATGGTAGTTACGATACATTAAAAAAATGTTTATCATATGGTGGCGATGCTTATATTATACTTTGATAAATTAGTTGACTATTTATGATATTTTAATTATTAATTACCAAAAGAAATGAAACCATTAAATTGAAATTAGAATTGGAAATCATTACAAAAATCTATTTATATTTTTTTTAAATCATAGGTATTGTGTCAAATGAAAAATATTATTGAGTAATACTTTGTAAAAGGATAGAATTTTCATCTCCATGAGTAAATGTTGAATCATTATTGGTCTATGCAAATTTGTAGTATAATTAATCTTTATGAATTGGCTTAAAATATATATATATTATTATAACACCAGTAGTCAAATTAATTTCTATACTCTAAAATCCGAATTAAGTACTTTTACAAATAAATTATTGTGGTTATTCAATTTAATTAAGATTATACATATTAATTGTATCATTCCATATATAAAGCTTATTATTTTATATTCTTATCCATGAATTATTTCTATAATTGTTATTTGATAAATTCAGAATTTAATTAGGATATACAGTTTTAGAAGTTACATTTGATAAATTTATACTGATAATATAATATTATGACTAATTATCTTAACATAAAGCATAAATAGTTTAATTCTAAATAGTTGATGCAATACATTAATTATAAGTAGTAGCAAAATTGTATAGGATATCCTAATTATAATTGTAAACACTCTAATTATTAAGAAGCATAAATTATTTCTAATTAGAATTATTATAATAAATAATTTGATTGTAAATTTAACTTTAATTTTTTTTTTAAGGATTTTCAATATTGTTAGTCAATTTACTATCTTTATCAGTAATATTAAAATATAGTGCTTAACCTTATAATGAAATATTATATCTAAAAAGTACAACATAAGATTAAGATTTATTAACAGCAACATTTGAATCGATTAAATTTATATCTAAATAATTATTTATGATCGTTAATGAGCTATTTGATTAATTAAAAGGGTTTTAATCATCAAGATATGATTAAAAGGTGAAATTAAAAATTTATTATATAAGAAACTATTAATGTATGTCTTTATTATAAAAAGCTTATAGTAAAATAGGTGAAAGCAAATAGAAGCTCTAATTAAAACAAAGAAATGCCAAACTATTAATAGCTATACTTGTAAAGTAAAGACCTTCAAATTGATAATGATAATAAAGACTTGAATGTCCAGGTAAATTTGGATTATATACATATAAAGTTGAGCTATGTAATACATAAAAAAATTAATTGTCAGAAAAATAGGAAATTGAATTTTAATCTAAATCAAAACTTATAGATTTCATTTATTTTAAATAAATTGGATTTTTCAAATTTTTAGCATTCCAAACCTCAAAAAAAACAATTTCTTAATATTCAGGAATCCAAGACAATATTAATAAATTATTTACAACAAATAGATTTTCAATTTGAAAAATAACATTTTTGATTGAAATAAATACAAATTTGAGTTACTCTGTTATATAACCTATTATAAAATTATTATAATTGTTTATGTATAAGACTCTAGATTAGTATTATTAATTAATAACAATATTTGTTAGATTTAAGTGAACCTTTTAACCTAAAGCATCTTCTAAAATTTTAGAATTAAACAATATTTAACTTTTATTATCAAATGTTATTATTGATATTTCCTTTGTATTTAGTAATAGCACTATTGAATTATATAATAATTAAAACTACTTAAATGTTTCTGTTTATAAGGTTACATTGTTAATCATTTGTAAATGATTATTATATTAATAAACTTAAATAATATTTTAACCAAAACTTAGGCATACTATATAAATAACTTATTAATTAAGAACAACAAATGTAATTTCAATTTAAGTTACATTAGTATTCATATAATTAATATCAATTGAACTAACAATTGAACTAACAATTGATCTATTTTCTAATTAATAAATGTCTAAATTTTAATTGCTGACAGCAACTGTAAAAATAATACTAAAATTTGAACTCTGATATTCTTAAAACAAATTAACAGAAAAAGCTTTTGCTATATAGTAATTTTATTATAATGATGAATTGATTTTGTATGAAGTATTGTCATAAAAATAACCTAAGTTTTCATCGCTAACATGAGATATTGCTTTTATAAGTGGCCCTGAAAGAGAATGAATCCAATATTCAAAAGGAAATTATAATAAATTTATATATGATTCTTAAGGGTATATGAATATGGGATATATATTGTTATTTGATTAGGAAACTTATTGAAAATTAATATTTACTTAGCATAAATGGATTTAAAAATAACCATCTATTTCTAAAGCTCTAATAGAAAATTTACCTTAACTCTCATTAGATGAAAAACTTAAAAGAGGAATCTATAGTTTATGAATGATAATAATTTCTCCAAAAATGTACAAATACTCACCTAATTCATCAAAGTATATAACAGTTTATTTATCATATACTTATTATTTTCTGAATAGAATTTGATTAAATTTTTCATTTTTCAAAATACTAATTGAAAACCTACTATATATGATAATGAAATCTTAACTAATAAATATTTAGGCTAATCGATCTACTTCATTTCGTTATTATTTAGACTCCAGAGTTTGTACATAAAATGAATCACAATAAAAAACATCTATGAAATACATATAATCAAAATCATCGTCTAAAACTATTAAAAAAAGTCTATCAAATTAATAATATTCATCTTATTAATAATAATAAGCCATATTAATAATTTCATGAGTGAAAGATATGTTATTGACTTATAAAAGTGTTCCATTTTCTTATAATACAAATGAATTTATATAATCCTTATACTATATAAATATTGTTTGGTTTATAGATTCTTTATTTGATACAAAAAAATTAAATGCATTATCTTATAAGTTATCTGTAACTATAAATGTGTGTCTTTTATGCTCTTATAAAATTGTCAAATTCAATATAATCAAATTTGAATCATTTGTGTTGGCTTAAGTAAAAGACTATCCATAAATAATAGATGTTGATGTATTGTTGACAATAGAACTTATTTTAGTGTAATTAGGAATAGAACTATTAGAAGTGTAAATTAGACTTAAACTATTATTTCTAATATAGTATAGAAATAATATTTGATCTTCATAGCAATCTATAATAATATTATAAAATTCTGTATATGTAATACTAAAGCATTCCTAGGATTAACTAATATTGATTATTTATATTGGAGTATGGTTCATTTTTCCATTTTAATTCAAATAAATGTTAATAGAAGGCTCTGTAGTTAAAGCATAAATTTTTTCTTCATGAAATGAAACAGATTTAAATGTATATTCTAATTTTAAGTAATAAATTACTATTTTCAAAGAATTAATAGTTTTCAAATATATTTGAAACACTGATGCCTTATGAGCACTTTTCGCATTAATAAGTTAGATTACTACCTTAAATTAACTTATCCATAGTAATTTCTATTAATTCTCCTTCTGTAGGATAGATATTGTACTCTTGATATGGTACTGAACAAGTCTTTACAAAGATGATGTAAACAAAAATAATCATATATACTAATTATTTAATTCAAAATCTTGAATTTAGAATTATGCATATTATTTTTGTACTATTTTTCAGAAATTATTTTCATGTCAAAGTGTTTAATGATAATTAGTCTAGAATTAATAGTTTGTTATAAATGATTAATATAACATATTTTAGAAAAAAATAACATATAATGATTAAATTTTATTATTAATTCTAAAAGTCTATTAGTAATCTGATATTGTGATTTTCTACCATTTTATTTTTATAATTATTTCAATTTTCTGAAATCATTTTTAATTCTTTGTAAATATTATTGCTGTTCATGATGGTTTAATAATTAAAGTGAGATAAAAATGATAGTATTCTTAAATTAATACTCCTATTTTTTATTTTTAGCTTAGTCTATAAAAGTGTTAAATTTTAATTATTGATGTATAATTTAATATAATTAAATTCCTGTTTCTAAAAAATAAATATTTATTAAAATCTAGCCTAATTTTATTTCCAAAAAATATAATTTCTATTTGATATTATAATTTGAATTAAAACTTATTATTTTTTAATTAATCAATTAGTTAAAAATTTATGATGATTACTATATGATTTAAAAAAACTCATAATCGACGAACTAATTAAGGTGAATTATAATTAATTCTAAAATTGTTTTTTATAATTTTAAGATTAGAAGCTATTATTTATAGAAAAATAATTTTAAATTAAAGTTATAATTTAGAATTTTTATAATCATTATAAAATAAGATTAAATTTAGGTTTTTGCAAAGTAATCAGTAAGGGATGGTCATCAATAAATAAGTTGGAGATCATATTTTAATTTATGGAAAAAAGCCTTAATTATTAGTATTATTTTATTTAAGAAAAGAATACATACGTTTAACAAAGTAAAATAAAAACCAAATTAATTCAAACTATTCTTATGTGCAATCAAATAAGATTGCTAATCTTTTTATTTAGAGAAATTTCTAAAAATAAATTTGCAAAATGAATTTTAAGTAATCTTAAAAAGATTATTTAAAATATAGAAGTAATTATTAAATAAAGGCTAAAATGAGAATACAGATCAATTTTTATTTAAAATTTAAATGATGATACATTTAAAGTGAAAAAAAAGAAAATATTAATTTAAAATACTTGGATCATTTTTAAAATTTGTAAATTTGTTTAAATTAACTTTTAGAAATTTTTTCATTCAATGTTGAATAAAATGAGAGCTTTCAAAGATATTGCATGGCCAATAGTACAGCATTAAAGTCTGCTACTTTAAATTAAAGTTTTTATATATGATATTTTTAATAAAATATTTAAATCGATTGTTAAAAGTTATATAATAACTACATATATTTGATTCAATAATTAATGTGTTCTAGTTACTTAAATTATATTTAATTTATTCTATTTATTTTATCATTATAAAAATGAAACTAACTTTCTAAATTTTAATATAAATAGTTATACTATTCTTAAATTTGATAACAATTTTTTTTTGAATGTATATATCTAAAACTAGTTTTTCATCAAAGATAAATAAAAAAATGAGATAATTAAAAGTACTGAATTTTTTGACTATGTTTAATAACACTTTTCCTTTTTAGATATACATTGACGTTTCTTTTCAAATTTGATTTTTATTTAATATTGAGACATCAACTAAATTTTTTTGCCCATTTCTCTTTATTAAATTGTTAACAATATGGAAAACAAATGATTATTCACCTTCAAAATGCTGATAAACCATAAATCTGTTTAAAACTCTGTTTATTTCCATCATTACAACTGTTAATACGTATTTAGAGAATAAGCATTAAACTTTTATTTTCTTTTATTTCTATTGATTTCATAAATATTTAAAATTCTTAAAAAGAATAATCATATATATTTATTTTCAAAATTTTAGTGATTGAGAAGGAAAAAAAACCAAGAGTTGAGAATTTTAATTGATCATGATTTAAGAACGATTCTGAAAATGAGTCAGTAGTGAATATAAATTTTAGGAAGAAAATAGAATATGAAAAAATAATAGTGTTGATGATAAAGAGAGTGACATTGACTTGCTTTTGAAAGGAAAAGAAAAGAAATATTTAAAGAGAGAGTTCATATAATAATTGATGTACAAATATTAAATCGATTCCTAAGTTAATAATAAGTGGGCCAAATTCATATGACAATAAGTCTATAGGTTGATGTTACAAGATTGTAGATTGGAGATACTTGATAAATATTAAAATGGAATAGATTTTATAGGATTCAGCAGTAAGTTTATGACATAGATAGAATAATACTCCATTCAGATTAGGATTATAATAAAGTACTGTATGATGATCCTAGACTATAGGGAATTTCGAAGTCAATGATTATCAATTGAGAAGTAAAAGGAGCATAGGAAATTTGAATGATAGATGATTTTTTATTAAATTGAATATGATTTAAATCTTTTTTGATAAGTTTTATAAGGAATAGTGCAAGAAACATCACTGTATAAGGAGCAATTTGAGTGAAAAGGTTGAGTAGACTTATGGAAATTTTGTTTTCAGTTAATAATCCTATATTTGAGTGAAGTAAATTACATTGAGGGAAAATATTTTGTGATCAAATAAAGGGTATAAATAAATTAAATATGAATTTAGATGTAATTTGACTAATACAAAGAAACAATTATAAAGAATAATTGGAAATGATGATGTCAGATATGCTATGATGAATGATCATGCTATTTGGAAGTTTTGATAAGTTATTGTTAAAATTTAGCCCTTATTTGTTCAATAATTATCATAACGAAAAGAAAAATAATTTTCCTTAAAAACATTACATACTTGGTATTAGGATCATTATTTTGACTTTGGGAAATCCAGTATGAATAAAAGTGGATAATGTGAACCTGGATACAAAAAAATCATCTTTACACTAGATTCTTTTTGCATTCCAGAGCTTACCTTCTCCAGCTAGTAGAAAAACTAAAGGATATACTGTAATGCTCTGAATTTTGAGAATCAACAAAAGCCCAACTTTCTTTTAATTCTATGATTTAAGACAGGAGTTTACTGCATAAAAAAATATTAATCTCCTTTTCTCAATAATTAAAATCAACTCTTTGTTAAATTAAAACTCATTGATTACTATACATCATGGGATGTATTAAATTTAGTAATTCTTATAAATAAGTAAACATTCAACAAGTGTTATTGAATCCATGCTCATAANATTGAGAAGGAAAAAAAACCAAGAGTTGAGAATTTTAATTGATCATGATTTAAGAACGATTCTGAAAATGAGTCAGTAGTGAATATAAATTTTAGGAAGAAAATAGAATATGAAAAAATAATAGTGTTGATGATAAAGAGAGTGACATTGACTTGCTTTTGAAAGGAAAAGAAAAGAAATATTTAAAGAGAGAGTTCATATAATAATTGATGTACAAATATTAAATCGATTCCTAAGTTAATAATAAGTGGGCCAAATTCATATGACAATAAGTCTATAGGTTGATGTTACAAGATTGTAGATTGGAGATACTTGATAAATATTAAAATGGAATAGATTTTATAGGATTCAGCAGTAAGTTTATGACATAGATAGAATAATACTCCATTCAGATTAGGATTATAATAAAGTACTGTATGATGATCCTAGACTATAGGGAATTTCGAAGTCAATGATTATCAATTGAGAAGTAAAAGGAGCATAGGAAATTTGAATGATAGATGATTTTTTATTAAATTGAATATGATTTAAATCTTTTTTGATAAGTTTTATAAGGAATAGTGCAAGAAACATCACTGTATAAGGAGCAATTTGAGTGAAAAGGTTGAGTAGACTTATGGAAATTTTGTTTTCAGTTAATAATCCTATATTTGAGTGAAGTAAATTACATTGAGGGAAAATATTTTGTGATCAAATAAAGGGTATAAATAAATTAAATATGAATTTAGATGTAATTTGACTAATACAAAGAAACAATTATAAAGAATAATTGGAAATGATGATGTCAGATATGCTATGATGAATGATCATGCTATTTGGAAGTTTTGATAAGTTATTGTTAAAATTTAGCCCTTATTTGTTCAATAATTATCATAACGAAAAGAAAAATAATTTTCCTTAAAAACATTACATACTTGGTATTAGGATCATTATTTTGACTTTGGGAAATCCAGTATGAATAAAAGTGGATAATGTGAACCTGGATACAAAAAAATCATCTTTACACTAGATTCTTTTTGCATTCCAGAGCTTACCTTCTCCAGCTAGTAGAAAAACTAAAGGATATACTGTAATGCTCTGAATTTTGAGAATCAACAAAAGCCCAACTTTCTTTTAATTCTATGATTTAAGACAGGAGTTTACTGCATAAAAAAATATTAATCTCCTTTTCTCAATAATTAAAATCAACTCTTTGTTAAATTAAAACTCATTGATTACTATACATCATGGGATGTATTAAATTTAGTAATTCTTATAAATAAGTAAACATTCAACAAGTGTTATTGAATCCATGCTCATAAACTGCCAGATACTTTAATAATAATGCCATGATAGATTTTGTATGTTATCCATAATTATAGGTAGATTAATCCATTTTACCACATCTCATTGTAGTCTCTAGAAAATTTCTTTATAATAGAATTTAAACAATTATTGTCCATTTTGTAAATTATAATTCTATCACAATCAAATGAACTGCTCCCTTATCCTCATTTTCAACTACTCAATCCCATCCTTTTATATTTCGTCCTATTTTTTGTCTATACTCATCGATACCTTCCATGAATTATCAGACACAGATCCAATTTATCCTATATATCTTATCTGTATTGGAGTATTAGGTCGAGAATTTCTGGCAGTAAATAAAACCTAATCTTTGCTACATTAATAAAAAATCTTTTTTATAAATTTACTCAAGATCATCAATTCTGCACCCCTTGATAATGGGCCCTTTTGTTATGTAAATGGGCAGTTTCTCAAGTTTTAGTAAATTGAGTGTCTGATCATGTTAGAAGATGGTCTGAGTGCTTAACCAATTTTAAAAGTTAGTAGTATTATTCCCAAGAGTTTTGTTTCAGTCCTCATTTTTGAAAAAAAAGAAAAGAATATCATAAACAAAATTCTATATAATTTTTATTAAATTTTGATAGACTCAGTTATATGTTGTCATAGTATACATTTCTAATTCTGATTGTCTACCTATCCGTCCCTCAAGTTTCCTTTTCAACTAACTTTTTTCTCTATAGAAATCAATTTTATTTTGATGAGTTTATTAGGAAACAAAAAGAGGATAAAAGCCATATTGAAAAAGCTTCATAAATATATAATAGAATAGATAATCAACTTGCATCAACAAGATTTTAAGTTATTTATATGATGTTGTTAATACTATTTAAGTACAGAAAATGTAACTTAGGTAATAATGAAAATAGAGGGAAATTATGTTAGGAATATATATCTTGCGAATTTAGAAATTCTTCTATATAATAGATACTTTGAAGTTTGAATAAATTTAAGAAAAAAATATTTGAAAAAGTATTTGTAAGAGATAAGAAATGCTGTTGAAAGAAAATTTTCTATTTACAGATAGATTTGTGACGAGAATATGAAGATAGTATTATATTTTCCTTTTAAGAGATAGGTAAAAAGTTGCAATATTAGTTATTTTTGAAGATATAAATTGAAAAATAGTTCTCCAGCATATTTGAAAAAATGAAGATGAATTTTGGAAATTCTTAGCTAATTTAGTTATTAAAGAATAAAATGAGGTTGAAGAATTAGAGAGAGATCTACATCAAAAAAGTTGAAAACAATTGATAAAAGCCAAAAATAGTTGTTTGAGGAATAAAAATAGGAGTTTATTATTTATAGAAGGATTAATATAGTGAGGATAAGGATGATTCAAGGATATGTATTTTGATTTATTTAAACTTGAATGGAAAGTTTGCTATTAGCATGAATTTAAAATTAATTTGGTACTTAATCTAATATTAAGGATGAATCATGAATGGGATTGTAAGATTTAAATATTTGAAAGATATATATATTACATTGAATATACGTTTACTTCTTAGAAGTATAAAAGCAAAGAGACTTGATTAAAATATTGCTTCTAACATTTTATAAGAAATAGAATCATTAAGAAATATTAAAGAAAAAAAAATGATATATTAAATTTTCTTAAATTATTTTTCTAGTATAATAAAACTCAAACATTATAATAGATAAATTTAAGAGAAAAATTGAATATACATTCAAAAGCTGACTGTATATGAACCTATATATAATTTTAAAATCAGCTCTTACATTTATTACAATATTCTCTGAACTTTTTATATGCAATCTAAAAAACCAAGATAGTGGATCGAGATGTCTTTCAAAATAAAAAATTACAAATCTATGGATCTCTATTATGACTATTCAATAAAATTTGAACTCTATAAGTAATATTTATTTTGAATATTTTTGTGGTATGAATATTTCCAATATTAGCAATAAATGATATACTAAAATAACATTTAAGTTAAATAGATCGGATATCTCTTATGCTTATCATAATAGAGAATATATGGAATAATCTTTTCCTTGACAACCTTAATTAAATATTTAGAAAGCTCAATAGGGCTAGATGTTAATCAAAATATCAATGAATGTTCAGTTTAAATACAAAGCACATAAGTTTAAGGATTAATTTAGTTTATTTTTTAATGATATATCAAATTTAGTTTCTTTTTTTTACACATCCTAACCAAATTCTTCACGTTTTTTGTTCCGTATATAATGTAAAACATCATCATTCATAGCTGCTGAAGGCTCACTTGAACAAAATTAACAGTAATAGCAGCATTTTAACAACTAAAAAATCTTCATAAACAAAATTCACTGATTTAAGAACCCCTACTAAATTTTTCAACCACCAATTCCTAATAGTAGTAATCATCCTACTCTATCAAAATACGAATAAGGGAGATTAGAGTACTATTCAATAGGTCAAAAAATCTTCCCAACACAGAACTCTATATTATTCAGAGAAGCTCAAAAAACACCAGAAATATAGGTGAAAATTTCCAATCTCTTAATTGATCTAATTAGGAAAAGGTTAAAGGTTTCTTTCAACTTAGTAAGTAAATATCCCCATTACAGGACTTCTCTCGCTATCTGTCCTTAGCTCTTATTCATGTAGGCCTACCAAAGTTTAACAACTATAAATTAATTAGAATCATCTAATTTAAATGTATTCACATTCAAAATCACCAACAACTTTCTTTGTACAAACACTATTTCCGAAAACTGAGCCATCAATGCGCATTTCACAAACTTCTTTCAGTTTAATTCCTTCTTACAATTCATTAAAAAATCTGCATAAATCAGTTGTTTAACATCAGAATAAGGGAGTTTTTATCCTTTATATAAGCATAATCATCTTGCTAAGAGATCTAAACTAGAAGGTTTTAAATCTAAAAGGTTTAATTATTATATAGCTTTATTCCAGGAATCCTTTAAATAAGAGAAATATCTTTTCAAAATAATAGAACAGTCCAGGTATTTCTATTTAAAAGCTTTATTAATTTTCTTTACTCTGTATCATTGTGCAATTATCCTTGAATTTTTCCAACTCCTTCAACCTTTTTCCAACTCTTTATCCCTTATCTCTACCATCACTAACTCAAGAATTAAACTTTTTTCCTTTTTTTTAAAATATAAAATCCCCTAAATTTATGAGTTTATAATTTTTAATATTGCTCTAATTGCTAATAAGCTCCTTTAACATCTTAATTTTAAAAAGAGAGATATTACTGGAGCCTCTGTTAGCATTATTTATTTGGCCAATTCAAAACATAAAAAAATAGCATCACTTTCTTTTCTGATCAGATTAGACTTTTTTAAAGGTTAAAGACTTCTTTTTCATGTTCAATCAATGTACTGTTTCAAAATAAACTTTATTTTCTTTTAATTTGTTCTTACTTAATTACAATAATAGAGAACTTTGCTTACGCTTATGCTAATATTTCATGTTCTATATTCTTTTTTACCTTATATTAAAATCTTACATCTCTGTCAAAGCATTAATAAACTAGAATCTCCAATTTGTTTAAGTTATAATTAAACTAGCTTAAAATTAATCTCATAGCCTCTTTTATCGAGTCCATTAATTTTCTCTCCACATTTATTAGTATGATATTATCTTTCTATCTCATTAGATGAAAGTATCTTTTAACTGTAAAGTATGAGTTAGGTACAAAAAGTCTTGGGTTTTAGCTAGGAAAAAACACCAGCATCATGAAAATAGGCTAGTCTTCCAGCAAAATATAACTCTTAAATTACTTCTTTGATCTCTTATGCTTTGTAATGATTCTCAATTTCAATTTTATATTATTTCAAAATTTTTCGGTATTATTAAATTTCTTCTCTTATTATTAATCATTTTTTATATTCTTCATCATTTCTAAATAAGTATATAATTGTCCAAAGGCTCCTGTTTTTTAGGCCAAAAATCTAATTTACTATATATATCAAATTTTTCTAATCTTTTAGATTAAACATGTGTTGTATGCAAAAAGGAGAACCTTCCATTTCTTGTAATCCAGGTTATGATAAATTAAATTCCACTCCTTTTACTGAGAGTAGTGATTAGATCACAACAAATTTGTAATCTCTAGGCTCAATTTTAGTTAAAGAAGCTTCAACCATAAATGACCAATTCATTTATTGCAAGTAATTAAGACAAAATTATTTCTCAAACATATTGCTAGTATAGGTTTTATCTTCCTTTTTAAACGACATTAAGGAGGTGAAATCGAGCGTTTTTTCTATCATTGAGCTTCAATTTGAACTTGTAGAACCAGACCTATTGAAGTTACTACTCAATAGAAAAAAGCTAGATTTTAGCAATTATTTAATTAGATCATATAATTTATATTAACCCTTAAATAAATTAATTATTTTTGTTCAAAAAGCTTGTTTTCTAAAGATAATGTACTATATTTATTTATTTCAATTTATATTTTTCATCATGAGTATCATTATTATTTAATGAAGAAGATAAACTGTTTTCCATATCTCAGTGCTCGATTAAATAAAGAGTTAATCATACTTCTCTAAAGGATCGATAAAAAGTTAAGATCCTCAATATTTAAAGCAATTTTACAAAGCTTTAAATATTCATCTTAAAAATAATATTTTCATCCCAATTGATATCTGGATAAAAATTGTTGCTGCAATATCGAAGCTTAATTAAAATATCTCTTAATCTAAATTTTGTTTATTGAAAATATTGATCAATTAAGTGATTGTTCATCAAACTAATTAAATAAAATCTTTGATCTATAAAGATTATTAGAAAATAAATATCTATTTATTTATCTCAAAAGATAAGTTTACTTTTTTTAATGTTATTCTAAGCTTAATGTAATTATAAAAATATAAGATTCTAGAATTTAAGTCTTGTAAATCAATTTTTCTAAAAATCTTAACAATTCAAGTAGAATTCGATCTTGAGATTTTATTTATTCCAGGAAGATTTTATAAATACTTTTTTCAAACCTAAATTGTTTTTGAATTCTACAATAGAATAGATTTTGAATAGATAAATCTAACTTGGATTATGAAGATATAGTTTTAGCTATCTAGGTTTTGATCAAGTATTCTTTATATATTGATAGAATATTTTTGTAATTTGTGTTGTTATGATGCGAGTGTATAAATTCAAAATGAAATTTCCATTTAAGAAGTCAATCAATAATTTGAATTTATAAGATGTGACAATATAGAAACAAAAATTTATTTATTATAATAAATGTAATATAATATAAATTCTAGTTCTGCTCTTTTTGTTATTGCTTTTTAGATAGCTTAAAAATCAATTCAATCAATTATGCAAGAGAAGCTTTGTAATCTATTTATCTAAAAGACTTACATAAACTGTATTAATTATAGGTTATCTCATGATATTATGAAAATAATTAGGAATCAATCAAAAAGGATGAAGATCATAAGATAATGAATTTTCATTTGTTGTTATAGTTTCTACATTGTGAAACAATCCAACACAGTTAATTTAAATAATTTAATTCTTAATTTTAATTAATTAGTTATTGGATTGGATTATCAAAAAAACTAAGAGTTGCAATTATTTTTCGAAATTCTTAAATTTATTTCTTTGTGAAAAATTTAATTTCTTCTGATTTGACTAATTATTTATACTCTTGGTTAAATTTTTTTTCAAATTTATTTAATTTTAGACTAAGATTCTGGTAAAAGGCATTTCAATTAAATAGAATTTAAATTCATTTATTTCTATACTAGGGTTAAATAATAAGAATATCAAGAGAAGATATCCCCACTAAATTAATAATCATAAATACATAGTAAGAAATCTTAAAAAGAAAATTTTTTGGCTCATAGCCATTAAAGTTATTATTCAATCAATCTAGTTAGAGGAGCTTTGTGATGGAATTGAGATCTTTATTTTACTAATTAATAAAATTAAATTTTTAAACAAAATAATTATCAAATTAAAAATAAAATTAATTTTATAAATTAGTATAAAAATTTTGAGGGATAAATATATTAATAATTCTACATTTTATACCTTATGTTAACGAGTTTTTGGTTATAATTTATTGCTAAAAATATTGATTTCAAAATGTAAGCCCAACTTTTTGCATTTCAATCATTCATTTATATATAAAAAATCAATTAGGGTTTTGTTAAATGTCTTAATAAAAGTGATTTCATATAAAATATATATTTATATCTATATATCTATTTATTTTTCATAATTCATGATATTTCCTAATTTATATTTAATTTGATTTGTCATCCCATGTGATCAAATACTATCCATTTTCACTAATTCCTCCAATTAAGCAATTAGTTCCAAAATGAATAGATTGTTCAGTTAAAAACTCTCCATTTTATTTTTTGCTTATGAAATTGACATATTCACCATTCTTACTCAATAAAATACATTTTGAATTTATATATTATTAAGGAAATAAACAATTATTATCTGATCCACACTTAATAGTAATATCTCTAGTTTTAGTAAACTATTTATTCATAGTATTCATTTCAAAGACAGATATATATTCTTAATTATATGGTGACAATGTGAATATATTATTATCAATAAAGCATATTCTAAATCCACAATTATCAATATTAATCTTTTGTATTACTTTCCATTCTGTATTCTATTCTTAATATTCTATTATTAATATTAATTTATCATATCCACATGATATTATTCTATTTTATTATTAATTCAAACTCAATCCATATATCTCATCTGAATGATCTCTAATTGTTTATTAACATAACCATTCATTCTTCTTTATCCAAAATTTAATAGTTTTATCATAACTCCCTGATATAATTAAATCTTCATTTATATTTAATACTAAACAAGTAATTCCTTCATTATGTCCATTTAATATCTATAATGAACTCCATAAATTATTTTCATTTTATTTCCATATTCTAATAGTTTTATCTAAACTTCCAGATATAAACTATTTCGATTTCTTCATGAAGTTTAAAGTAAATACCCACCCATTATGTTCATTTATAGTTTAAATTTCTTTGATGATTTCTTATTTGAATTCATATACTTTAATTTTTGAATCACATCCAGCCACCAATGTTGAACAATCATTATCAATTGCTATAGCTAAACACAATTCACTTTATGAAATAGAAGATTATTGAAGTATTTAATAATTAAATGGTTTAAGATCTATTGGATGAATAGATTAAATATTTTATTATTCTTTTATATTTAAATTACTATTTAAACATTCTATTTCATTAGTTTTTTGTTAGATATTGATTAATTATTTTTATTCACTATCAAAATTCTAAGAACCTAATAATAAACAAGATAATAGTTCCTTACATTTATTATATTGTTCAAATTAATTGAATTATTCTAATAAAGGATTAAATTTTGAAGTCCAACAGAGATTGGTTTTCTAAATTTCTTTAGATATTTATAAGTGATCATCAGTTTTGTTTTACTTTATAAACATAATTTCTAATTCTTCATAAAAACTATATTAAGAATATTATGACACTTATTATTTAAGATTTTGAATCCAGTCTATCATAATAGTAATCAATTAGTTTAATTATTGAATTACAAATGATTTCATTTGATCTACAACATCATGCAATGATTCAACTAATTTTAATTAATTAGTTATTATATTTTCTACTTTTTCCATCTTTTTTACTTAATTTTCTTCAATTGATGAAATAATTTTTTTTAATCCAATCATTTTGGCATCTAAATCTGGATCTTCTAAACATTCAGTACATAGGAGTCTCTAATCTCTTGATAATGTTGGATCAAGTGCTACAGTAATGACTGGTAGATTATGTCCTTTTGAGCATCGAAAATCTTTTTGATTTTCTATCATTTTTGGTTTAAACATTTAATTTAATAATGATTTTTTTTACGAAAATTAATTCACTTTTATAATGCATAAATTTAATAGTTTATACAAATAGATGTATTCGATAATTTAATATGCTTTAGACAAATCTTCTTTTTATTCCTTTAACAAAACATATTTTTCATTTAAAAAAAAATATTCTACCTAACAAAATCTATGCCTCCAATATTTGCTCTTAAAGTACTTTTCATTATATCATGCATAATTTGACTAAAAGTATTTTTTAGACAACTAAATGCATCAACTTTTCAACTCCTAAGTCGAATAATAATATTTGGCATCTCTTACCTTTTAAAATTTCCACTTTAATAGGATAGCTAATCTGAATATCAGGCAAGTGAATACAGTCTAAAAATTGAATTATTGAATCTAAATACATCTTTAAATTTTACAGTCTCTAAAGAAAAATTTAATATTTATTATCATTACCCATTAAAAGGCTTTATATCAAATTCCCTATCCAATATTTGAGTATCTAGAAAGTTTAAATATTGTAAATAATTACAAAATAATAATATTTTATTCTAAAAGATTCATATTCCAGATAGAAAAACAGCATTATCAATTTCTTGTCTAATTGTATCATATCAACTATAAATATTAGTATTTTTAAACTATTTTCTTCCCTTTATCATGTATTTCTATACTAATATAATATTTTCACTTATTCACTATAACTCAAAATTCAATTATACAATATTTATATTGTCAATTAGAAAGACGGCTGCCTATCTTCTTAACTCTTTTAGTAAATACACATAATTCATGCTTTCCATAATTGGTCAGAGTTTCAGCACAAACTTTCCATAAATTCTGTTCTACTATGATTATAAGATTCTAGATAATTATGAAATCCTTATTAAAGTGATTGTTTAATGGATATTTTAATAAAACATATATACTAAATATTAAAGATTTTATTATTCTGTCTTTTTAGGAAGGTAATGAAATGATATAGTCTAAATCTTGCGATGTATAGAATGAGAAAAAGATGTATAAAGTAAAATTAAAAAATGGAATGATGTTGTAAAAGAAATTCATAAATCCTTAAACACCCTTGTTTAACTTTTAAATATGGAATCAAAGGATCTAGATAATTTTGAACAAAGAAACACTATTCAGGATAACTTTATCTATATTACTAACATCATATAGGCATTTCCAAAGAAAATATTGATGAATTAAATAGATAGAAATCTAGATAGTGATATAAATTTTGAGAAACACAAAAGGGAATTTTGGCATAATGTCATGGTATCAAAAATAGAAGACTTTATCTCTCCAAAAGAATTAGATGTCCATATTTTTAAATCTCATTGAAGGTTTCTGAGTCCAAAGCAATTTACCTATAGTTAATATTAATACAAAGTATCTCAAATAGACCAATATATAAAATAGACTTTCTAATCATCTTTATTACCATAATTATTTTCCTTAATGGGATGATCTTCAGACACAGTTTGATGATCGAATAGATGTATATAATCTAAATTGATGAGTTTAATATATCCAATGGAGAGAAGTTAGTCTTTTGAATTCATTTGTATTATTTTTATGATATAATATATTCTGGTTGAATATCTAGATTTAAAATGTGTTATCAAAATTATCTATATTCTCAATAAGGCTTAATCAATAGCCAATCTACAGGATAAAGATAACTGTTAAGATTTCACTTAATTCTATTAGCTATAATTTAGTAGTGGCATATTAAAAAGTACTTAAATTAATGGTATTTTTAATTCTTATTCTCTTTCATTCTATGGTGCATAAATGTTGGAGTGTTTTTAATTCCATTTTTTTATATAAGGACTTTAATCTTTCCCTGTAATAAGCTGACTTAGGACATTAATTTTTATTTTTCATCTTAAATAGGCTTTATGATATTTGTTCTCATCTTTAAACAATTAATATCCAAAACTTTTTCCAATCAATGAGAATAACCTGATATGCAGTAGTAGATAAATACTTTAGAGAATATTTTTTAATAAAATTATTAAAGATTAAAATGTATTGGCTATAATTTTTGAAAATAATAATTATCTCAAACCTTTTATGGATGTCTTGAATTTAAATATGCATAGGATGGATGGTACATTAATTATAAGAAGGTTTAAATACTAGTGGTATTTTTGTGACTATTTTCATCATGAGATTAGAAATTAACAATATAGCTCTAATTGCAAGAAGAAAAATTTTGATAGACATTATTATCAAAATTGGATTAAAAATGGATGTAATCTTATATTAAATAAGTGAATTAACTTCATTTCATTTTAAGTAAGATAAAGACCATAAAACTTAATTGGATATTTTGCCTCAAATTTATAATGAGATTAAAAATCAAATTTAATAGGTAAATTTTAAGCGTAATTAAGAAGTTGAAGCATAGATCACCTTATCCAAAGTGAAAATTATTTAATGTCAATTGAAGAAATTGTTAATAAACTGAATTAATAATAATACATAAACAAATTATAATTGTAATATATTTTTTCTGAGAAATTTTTATTACAATAAAGAAGGAATAATATTTTCTAATTTTTTTAATCGTTAGACTTTTAAATTTTCTATTAAAAATTACTCCTTTAATTCTCTTATTGAGTAATATATGATAACCAAACTTTTATAAAGAATATTTTTTCCCTAATTTGTAAATATGATTAGAGAAAAATTGTACAACATTTCGAAATCAATTAATGAAGATTTAAAATTTAGATTAAAATTAAAACATGTTTTTTCTGTTACTACTTTTCTAAAATACATTGGTTATATCAAAATTTAGGCAAGCCTATCTTAATTAAATATTGAAAATTACATTTAATAACTAAAATAATTCTATTAAATATCAAAATAAAAAATAAGAGAATTCAGATGAAAATGAACAATCCTTATTGTAATGATAATTAAAATTTAATTAAATTTAATTAATAGGAATATGCTTTTATGAATGTGATATGCTACCTTAGGGTTTGGGTTTGGGTTTGGGTTTGGGTT